ACACGGTTCCTTTAAAATTGCTCCAACTTTTAAGTTTGCGCTCCGAGTGTACTTCTTTCTCCAGAATATTCTTCAGATCGTGGAGAAATATTGAAAATAAAATCCCTCACAGTCCATATTATCTTGCCATTGTATTATTACGTAAAAAGGCAGATTCGTTTTAGTGAGTCCGAATCACAGGAGGATTGCGAGAAGAGAGCGACATTTATGATGTAAGTTATTCTGGATGATATTGGTCGCGAAAGCCTACGTGTTAAACTGAGAATGACATTGACAGCTGCAACAGCGGGTTCTCACTCCCAGTAAAGATTCAAAACGGATCAATTCAGAGATCTCTGTAAATGGTGAATTGATCAGAGTGGCGTTCCCTTGACAGGCCGAGGAAGACAGGAAGAACAACCTGCGACTCCAGGATCTGGTCGACAAGCTGCAGCTCAAAGTGAAGACTTACAAGAGGCAGTCGGAAGAAGCGGTAAGTTATCCGTTTCTCGTGCTGTTCGCCTTGAGTAGGTGCTGTGCGGCCACAGGCTAAGCGTTGTTGGCGTGCGTTACGTGGGTGACTTCGGCACGGTGAAGGCGGCCCAGCTCTTAAGCGCGTTCGTCGAGGCCGAGCTTCTCGGTTCAAGCTCGGCGGCCACCCTGGTCAATACCGCCACGCCGTCTGCTTCGCACTGGGCGTTACGGATCGCTGAACCCGCGACGTCATTATGAAATGGGTAGGCCACGTGCGCTGGAAATTACCACTCGTGTTCGATGGCTCTGGATTTACCCAACTGGGTTAAAGCCACGTGTCAACATCGTCCCCTGCTGGCAGACCGACGCCGATTTGTCGGGTGGGCGCTGCGTTCACCCTGTGCCCGGGTAGGGACAGCTTCCAGAAGGGGTCCCCTACCGCAGAGCGATGTACCTGCATGGGAAGGCACGGTGCATGTATGTACCGTATGTTGAACTTCTTTCGCACCGTACGTAGCCAAGCGTGCTAATCGGAGGTGCGGGGGAAGGACAAGAAACTAAACACAAAAAGCAGTTCTGAAGAAATACGTTTTTCAATCTCGATTTAAAAGCGCATAACTCCCAGCGGCTTCCCAATACCGGAAGGAAGAGCATTCCAGACGGCCGCAGAAGCGCATCTGAAAGCGCGCGATGCGGTCGCCGTCTTTGTTCGATGGTTGGCCAAAAATGCAGTGTATAGTGTAGTGTTTTGTTTGGGGTATAGCAGTGTATCGTGAGGTGGATAATAGAGCATAGCGTCGTGTGCATGGCCTCTGAAAGCGTGCGACGCGGTGAACCTCACGGCGACGATCCGCCGCCGCAGGCTATCCTGATTGGCTTCGCTGTTCCCTCCGTGCCCACAGGAGGAGCAGGCCAACACAAACCTCTCCAAGTACCGCAAGCTGCAGCACGAGCTGGAGGAGGCCGACGAGCGTGCGGACATCGCCGAGTCTCAGGTCAACAAGCTGCGCGCTCGCTCCCGGGACGTGCACCCAGCGAAGGTAACTTAACTCAATCAGAACTTTGATGGGGAGGGGGCTCAGCCCCCTCCATTCCCCCCTGACGCCACAGACCTGGAGATTATGGTCAGATGCCTATACAAACCCTATTCGGACTGTCTTTGAAAATTCTCAAACCTATGCTCTTGTTTTCTCATTAACAGCAGTTGTAATAGCTTTCCGAAATAGGTTTCTTTTGGGGTTAAATCGCGTAAGTATGAATGTGTTGTTAAAAGAGCCACCACCCGATTAAGCCAATTAGTAAGGTTTGTCACGTAAACAAATCAAAATTGTAAATATGTGTGGATTTACTCTTCAACACACCGGTGGTGGGCTGAAGTAGTCACTAATTGGCCACGTTTTGTTTACGTGACAAACCTTACTAATTGGCTGTGTCGGGTGTTGGCGGGTTAACGACACGTTTATACTTACCTGATCTAACCCAAAAAAACCTTTATGACAAAAAACGCAAATTAGTTACTAGTTCAGCGCACCGGTTGTGTGTTGGAGAGTAAACCCACAACATTTACAATTCGAGCAGCATCATCAGGCGGCATCCAGAGTTGTGGAGAAATCCTCCTGCGATTGCTATGCAATAGCAGAAACGCAGCCTCACCATCACTCTGATGCGTGCCTAAAAGTCCAGCTGCACCAGCTGACGCAATCACTTATTTTGCTTTGGGTGGAAATGTCGAAGCACTTGTCACTGAATATGCAAGGCAGCTGTAAGTCTGACTCGTATCCACTTTTGTTCTCTTGCAGGTTGAAGCCGAGTAATGCCAAAGGTACCGAACTACCGTAGAGCAATTTGCCGTACAATACAGCATTTGACTTTACTGCTGCATAGGATCTACACATCTAATGTATGTAAAGTGCATTGAAAAATAAAAGAAATTGATGAAACTGCCTTGGTGTTAAGTGCCTTCTTGTCTCAGTCGTTATTTTTTTAAAGTGACGCATTCACACATTTTTTTTTTCCGACTCCACGCTCACCCGCAGTTGCGTCAATACTCGACACGATATGACTCTTGGAAATAAGCTTATGTCACGTGCAACAAACCGCGTAGCTTGATTTTATCGACATATGCCAGTCACTATTGTATGTTGGGTCTGCATCGTTGTTTTTATTCGAGCTTCTGCAAGTACGAGTGGTCATCTGCAGGTTAACTATTCTGCACTGGGCAGTCTCGAGCACTAGAGGGCGGCAGAGGCTCTCGTTTTGACGCTTGTCACGAGACGCGGCGAGTGAACGTTCACCCTAATAAGTTCATGCCAGTGGTGCGGATCGTGCCGTTCAGATGATGCACATTTTCCCACTTCAGTCAGTCTCCACCAATAACTTAAAAATCACTCCACAGTTATAATTTAACATCCTGTATACCATTGTTATTTTAAGGCAACCAAACAAATCACCAAAAAATTATTTACACCTGCAACATGGGACCATTTAGAGACACTTATCAGTCATAAATCGTCCACCATCTTATTAAACTTTAAGGGCCAGATAATAGGGGACAGTGGACAGCATATCAGAGACAAAACCAGATCTGTTGGGACCACCCAACTTGTTCCGTAAACTTTTAATTGCCACTGAATTGTGGACAAGAAGGGCGTGTACCCATGCATACTCTGAGTGTGTTGACTTGACACCTCATTTCTCTCGTTTACCCACTGAAACGCACACTTTAATGCGGGTTTGCGAGATAGAATCCCAATACCACATCATTCAAATTCCCCCAAACAATGATAGATCCTGTACTTATCATGATAGGAATGTTAGTAAAGTTTGTGAAGAGGTCAAATGAAACATGTGCAAAATGAATGTATTACAATATGTAATATACTTATGGTTATAGCAATATTTCTATATTTTGACATAAGTGTATCACTTGACACCCTGTACACTTGCAAATGAGATATTCCATCTGAAGGAAGTAGCCAAGTACATTGTTTTCATGAATAAAAGGAAAATGTTACAGGTTATTTAGTTTCAAATCTATTTCCCTAATTAAAAATGCTCTGACTATAATTGCTGTGGTGAGGCAGTGGGGCACAGATGCTATTTTATTATTTGACAAACCTCACGAGAGTACAGGATGGTAAATTGCAATCATTTATAGGTCTGGAGCAGCCACAGGAAATACAATTCCAAAGTGCGTATTTTTGGGCGTTTGAAAATGTGCCATCTTGGCCATCAAGACAGATGATTGAGCCAAGTGGGCTGAAGGTTGTTATAAACCTCCTTAGGTTGCACGCAGGTTATGTGGGTGACAGAGTTAAATGATGGCTTTCTGCAGGATTTGTTGGTTGTGGCATTGAGCCGTTCCATGAGCAATTGTACCACCAGATTGCCATCAACTCAGGCCGAGGAGAAATTAGATTTTTGTTTATTATCCAAGCACACGTTCCAATGTTTTCCATCTATTTTTATTGAGCTTTCGGTCACGGTGAAATTTCATATTTTCAAAACGTTTGTTCAGTGTTATATTTTATAGTCACGTGTTTGTTTTTAATAAAATACCGCTCCAGACTCCATATGGCACGACACACAGTGTTAATATCAACTCTGAAATATTTCAAACCCATTTATTAAAATTTTGTTACAACTTATATTCGTTTAATGTGCCTTGCTTTTTTACATGCTTGTAACAGACTTAACGTCTCTGTTTTATAACCATATATATAAACGTAAGTACAATAAAGGTAGTTTATGTACGATGTGCACGTACAACCAGTTTGTTAACCCACTGCTGGGTGAAGGCCCTAAACACGTTTTTAAGGGTTATGGTAAATATTTGGCCATACTTCACCACGCTGGTCAGTGCGGGGTGAAGGTGGGGGGAAATAGACTTACAGAGCTACCATGGCTTTTGTTGCACTGCCCTCTGCTGTCTACAACGTAGCTCCACAGCTGTTACAACGTCCACATAACGCGCGTCAACATGTTACATAAGAGAACACTGATGCAAACAATTAAGTTCATCATTCCATTGTGTTTACCTTGGAGAAGACATTCGAAATTGTATTTATGCACGCATAGTGGGTGCCACATGAGGTCACAATGATTTCAGATCATTTTACTGTTTATATATCATACCTTTGTGCATTTTCACATTTTTATCAAGATTTGTAACTCATGCAGCAAATACTAGTTACACAATACATGGATTTAAATGCGAAAACTAAATTTCGATTTAAAGCTTTCGTGACTGCAAGGATTAATCTTCTTTGGTTCTTTCGTGACTTTACCGAAAGAACCAAAGAATGCGAAAACTAAAGTTTAACATAACCACTGTCCGCGAAGGTTGATATTATTATGCAAAACAAATGCGAATATATTTAAATTCGAAAACATTGAATATATCTGCGCTGCTTCCACACTTTTCATGACATTTTTAAAAAGGTGATAAAAAACACATTTGAACAAATTTATGACACACTTGCATATAAAAAGCAACAACTCTAAACATAATTCAAGTTTATAGCTTTCAAAGGCAGCAGACAACCTACCATCACGGAGCGCCCTTAAGTTGTTGCAGTCCAGGGAAGAGTGGCTCGTGAAGGTGCACTGCGTTTATTGGAATGGCAATGTGCAGTAATTTGAGCCTTTCGCTTACATAAGACATTTTAAACAAAGTTGCTGTGAATGGCGTTAAGTAATACTGTAGGCTGATTATGAACCAGCTGCTTCTCGCATCAGTCACCCAAGAGTTGATGACTATGAAGGAATGCTTAATTTTGGCTGTCACAGCAGGATCAGTGGCTAGCCCCATGTATGTACGTGGAACAAATATAGAGTTCGCCGTCTTGACGGTGCGTATTTGATTTCACGCTAAAAATGTAAAACCCCCACCACCACCACCACCACCATCCCACTCCTGAAGGTCAAGCCGTGCTCAGAGAAAGGTCGTTTGGAAATGAGCGTCTGCAAGCGGGTCAGCTAAATTACGCACGCTCAAGTCGGTTTAAAACGTTAAGAAAATCTAACAACAACAACAGCAGCACACGGGTTTTAATTAAGCGGTCCCACTGTGCGTCTGTTTTGTGAAGGATTTTGGTTTCCTTGCACGACATTGTTGAACGAACATCTTGGCATGCTTAAAGTAGTGATCGGTCAGGCAAGCTTGCTGGCTTTCTTGCCAGCCGCACAGAGGCTCTTTCTAAACTTAATTTTGTGTTAACAGATCTACGGAAACAGGTTTTTTAAAAAAAAAATAAAGTGTGTTATAGCTATATCCAGAATCATATGGACATGATACCTGATGTACAGTTTTTTTTTTAAAGAAGACATGAGAACATTAAATTAAAACAACTTCATATCTTAAAAAGCAAGCACATGCAACACGATGCAATCCTAAATATATCTCAAAAGAGATTACATTATAGCACGTGTGAGTTAGTAGTCACGCGTGCATAGTTAATTAACTCTGAAACATTCACAGCTGTTTTTTTATGGAGAACGGCATGTCGATGGCCTCCCCCGTGTGTGATGGTCTCTGGTTGTGTGTGCGTGTTGTCGGCATGTCGATGGCCTCCCCTGTGTGTGATGGCCTCTGGTTGTGTTTGCGTGTCGTCGGCATCTCCATAGCCTCTCCTGTGTGCAAACACTTTGGCGGAACTGAGAAGGCTACCACAGCGCCTCTCCGCAGCTCTTTCTAAATATCACCCCCGAGAATTGTAGCCGTTGCTTTCATCTTCTGTGGTTACGAGCTCCCACGTCCATCAGCACACGTGTTTCCCCTCCGGGCCCATAAGCCACCACGCGGCTGTCTTGCTATAATCCTTGGTTCACGCGAAGGCAGCACGATTCACATTTTCTCATTTTTCATGTAAGCATATAAGCACCTAATCAAAGACACGTAAAATTATGCAATAGAAGATCAGTTGGAGCGTATTTCCTACGTGCGATCATGTTTTGCTGCTCAAGATCAATCTATCTTTGGAAATTGAATTGTATGATTGGAAAGTGAAGGACCAATTTTCCAAGTGAATTACCGATGAATTAACGCCTTCGTTAATTAGTTTAGCTATTTGACGTGTAAACAAAAATTACCATTATAAAAGTAGACCGATACATTTGTGGGTAAACGCCGTGGTGAACTCCAGCCAGAACTCCAGCCAGTGCAGTGTACGTATCTGGCTTCATTCATTTTCTTTCCTATAAAAATGTTTTCGAATCAATGAATAAATTGTAGTCATACGCATAACCATCTTTGTAAAAGTCAATATTTGGAATTGTAAGTTAACTGCATGCAATGCCAATATTATGATATTGTATGCATCGAGAAAGTGTTTGTTTTGATGATGATAAAAATGCGTTCTCTATATATGTCTTTAGATACAATTTTTTTTAAGCTACACCAAAATGCGTTTGAGTCTGAAACAACATTATTGTTGTTGTTGTTTTCTGTTTGCCGTAAACGTTCAGACAGAGTTGTTTGCAAACTGTGAGGGATCGCCAGCCAAACATGGGTGACCTGCACGAGTTTGGGGAAGCCGCTCCATTTCTGAGGAAGTCTGACAAGGAACGGCTGGAAGCTCAGCACCGTCCCTTTGACACCAAGAAGGAAATGTACGTGGCCGACGTCAAGGACATGTACGTCAAGGCCACGGTCAAGAGCAGTGACGGTGGCAAAGTCACCGTTGAGACTGAAGATGGCCGGGTACATACCATGTGTGTGTCCAGTTCTCCACACCGTGTCAACCCACACGGTCCACCCCGTTTTCGTGTACGGAGAAATTGAGTTTACAGGTCCATACGGCGTACAGCCGTTTGAAGACGGGCAAAAAAAAAACATTTTTGTGTGTATTTGTTTGTGTTTCTCCCTTGTGATGGGACTTTGTAGGATGAACGTTGAGATTTATAATGGGCACGGGGTGACCAATAAGGTCTGAATTGGTCTATAATAAAGTAGGCACTAATAAGGGCTTGACAGGTTTGTTATACACTACTATACACTACACTGTACACTACTATACACTACACTATACACTACTATACACTACACTATACACTACTATACACTACACTATACACTACACTATACACTACTATACACTACACTATACATTACTATATACTACACTATGCACTACTATACACTACACTATACACGACATTACTATACACTACTATACACTACACTATACACTACTATACACTACACTATACACTACTATACACTACACAATACACTACTATACACTACACTATAGTGTTGGGTGAACATTTATAAGGGCACGGGGTGACCAATACGGTCTGAATTGGTCTGTAATAAGTAGGGCACTAATGAGGGATTGACAGGGATGGGTCTCTGTTGGACACACCTGATGATATGTGTGTAATATGACACTTTACAGGGTTTTCTCGTGGTTGAGCCGTTGTAGTTTCTTCAGTGTGTGCCTTTGTGCTGTTGCAAACAAGACACACACGCAAATAAAATTGTGTAAAAAGCACACAGCCATCGTGTGCATGCCAAAAAGCGTCAACGTTTCCTGAAGAAATGCATTGTGGTACACTTGTCTGAAATGATCAAAATACATTTGAGGAAATTGATGGCAATCTCAAACAAGCGGACCACAATGTCCTTCAGGAAATTCTGATGGTTTGTTGTATATGCATATTGGATGTGTGCTTTTATATATTTTTTATCCATAATATAGGATTATTTTGTGTTAGATGTGTCGTTAAACCCGCCACCACCCGACACAGCCAACTAGTAAGGGTTGTCACGTAAACAGAACGTGGCCAATTCGTCACTAGTACAGCACACCGGTGTGTTGGAGAGCCAAGCCACAACATTTATAATCTGAGTACGACGTTTTTTCTATGCCTAGTTTATATATTTGTATGCCTAGTTTATAGATTTGTATGCATAATTTGAAACGCAGTTTCCAGCCTGCACTATTAAAACAAAATAAATAAGACATGTTTCTGTCTTTTTATAATCAATTACGCATTTGATGAATGTTCGATGTTACACTTTGCGTGCTGGGAAAATTCAGTTCCTCAAGAAGCTCCCAGCATGCTGAGTGAAACGTCGGACATCGTGCAGAACAACACGTGGTACAACGTGAAAAAAAACATCGGAGAGAAATGTTTAATATTGATTGTTAAAGGTACTGTAGTTGACAAGTAGAAAAAAAATCTATCTGTTTTGATCATCATTGTGTCTGGTAACTGGTAGTGGGGTGTGCCCTGCTTTTCCATCAGCTTTCACATTATACAGGAACTCCGTGCAAGGCAATTGACTTTGTTTACTGATTATGGGGATCATATATGTTAAAGTATTTTGCATGAGACGTGAAGCTATGTATGGATTTTGGCTGATGCGTCCCTATGAGTGACACCAGTCAAGCTCTGGGCTGTCACGTAAGGGAGACCCAAATAATAATAAATTTGTGAACATAGATCTGACTATTATTGCGCCAAATGTAATCGTTCTAGCCCTTTGTATAAATGTTATTCGCAATCGTCTATATGCATATGATAACGTTTTTTTTTTCTTTGTGTGCTATATTTCATGAAAAAAAAATAAAGCTCATAATTGCTTATTAATGTTAAACGTGTGCATAACGTTTGGTGTTGATGCATTGCAGATGTTTCGAGTGTTCTATTGCTCTCATTTGTGTTGTTATCGCATGGCCTGTCAAACTCTGCCCAAAGACCGTCACAGTGAAAGCAGAGGATGTACACCAAATGAACCCTCCCAAGTTCGATAAAATCGAGGACATGGCGATGCTGACGTTTCTGAATGAAGCGGCTGTTCTCTACAACCTCAAGGAAAGATACGCTGCCTGGATGATCTACGTACGTTCTACGACCAACGCGTGCATATTGTTGGCACGGTTGTAACATCAGCGTTTGTAAAAGTTCTAACTTAAGCATTGGTAAATGAATTAAAAAAATTATTAAAGTGGCAAAAGGAAAACAAATATCTAAACAATTGGAATGGCTTAATGCACGAATGAGATACTTTAACCTAAACAAAGTTACATAATTCCAGCTAAGTATATTAACCGTGGCTCAGCACCGTGGATACATTATTAAGATGTCAACGTGATACGTGTCAGAACGTCGTGGTCTCGTCTGAAGCGTTTTAATTGGAAAACATTCCTCACTACAATTAGCCTCCATAGTCGTTTGGAATGTGCGAGGTTTTGTGATTGCTCTCTGCACTCAACGTGACATTGATAGACTCTGAACTGTCACTCTCTGACCACGAAACGTTGCAATCCCCAGACCTACTCTGGGCTCTTCTGCGTCACTGTGAACCCATACAAATGGCTGCCGGTGTACAATAAGGAGGTCGTGGCTGGATACAGAGGGAAGAAGCGTCAGGAGGCACCCCCTCATATTTATTCCATCTCTGACAACGCCTATCAGTCCATGCTGACAGGTGCGTTGTACACGATTTTCATTTATGCACAGCACGACATATATCACTTTTGGAGAATACGAACAACAAAGCAAGCAGACTTCCCGCCTGTTTGCCGAATCTGTCCCTCCACACAAACAACATGATCATTATCGTTAACACGTAACGTCAGCCACACGGCCTTCTGGGAGTGTATCATCTACGTGACATTTGTTCAACACATGCAAACTCTCGATCGGTTTCAGCATGCAGTGTCTCATCAGCAGGCTTGGTTGAAACCAATGCTGGTGAACTGCCGGATGTTTATAGATAGGCAAGGACCCTCTGTGTTAGATATAGGTCCCAGTTCCACGTTCAACCATGTCATACTTAACACAAATAGCAATTAGCATGTTGTGGAAACAGCAACAAAATAATAAAGTCGACAATTGGGGCGATGATAGGAGGCATTTCGTCTACTTATTTACATGCTTTATTTTATTTAAACAGTTGCCGTAACATTGCAGAGCATTCTTTTTTGTCAGTTACGTGCTGGTACTGGATTATTGAAATTCATGCAGAAATATATAATTACTGGAGTGAATATGTGACAATTTAATGAGTAGAAAATATTTGAAGGGTTAATTTTTTTTTTTACAAACACGTGAAGACTTGCATGGACTTTAGCTGCGCATTGCAAACATTTGTTTTGGCACATCCGGTGTCTGTCCGATAACGCCGCATAATTTTGCGTTTGCGTTTTTCTTGTGACACTTTAACCAACGCTTTTTTTCATATCCCCGTCGACAGACAGAGAAAACCAGTCGGTTCTGATCACGTGAGTAAACGTCGCGCGCGCGCTTCTGTGGTGTGCAACAATTGTATCATCCGTGTGAAGAAGTAAAAAAATGCTTCTCGCAACGTATTGAATCAAAGTGTGAGAGTGAGAAAGTGAGTTCGGGGGGGGGGGGGGAGTGGTGTTGCGGGAATGGCAACCGCGCCGAGACGCACACAGCCCAGAGTAAGGGACCCCAGGCACTGGGCCACAAGGAGAGGAGGACATTCGATGTAGGGGACCCTGATTTGATTACTTTGGCACCAGGGCCCATGCCATCCACGTGGACGCCACTGGTGACGGTATTGTTGTGCCTCCTGTGTTTTGATCGGTTAAAGGTTTGGCAAAGGCGCAGGGCTGCATCGGCTTGCTCACGCCACTGCTAACAGAAAGGGCCTCCACTGAAGGGAGCCTTAGACGAACCTCACTGTGTTGTGTCACAAAAGTAAAAATTTAGAATATGTACTGTGAATGTTTAACCGCTACCAATGCGATATATTTGTATTGAATGTGCTTATACCGTGTTGGATGGCACCGCACGTGCCACATTGCCCATCGCGACGCCTTGATAATTATTCGACATTCCCACCGTGCCTCTGACGTCCTCAGCGGAGAATCCGGTGCGGGGAAGACCGTCAACACGAAGAGAGTCATCCAGTACTTCGCAACAATCGCGGCGCTGGGCGACGCCACCAAGAAGGAGGCCTCGCAGTCTCAGATGAAGGCACGCCTGACCCGCAGTCACCGTCGCGCGCCGAGCGCCTCGATACGTCCGGCGCCACGGCATTTGTCGGCACGTCGCATGTCTAACTGCAGAGGGTTGTGCGGTGTTTGTTTTCAATGCTGCAGGGCACCCTAGAGGATCAAATTGTCCAGGCCAACCCTCTCATGGAAGCGTTCGGCAATGCCAAGACCGTCAGGAACGACAACTCCTCGCGTTTTGTGAGTATGCTTGCGTGTAGGCATGTTGCACCTCTTTTGCAGCGTACGTAGCCAACCGTGCTAATCGGAGAAACGGGTTTTCAATCTCGACGATTTTAAAGTGCATTGCTCCAGTGGCTTCCTAATATCGGAAGGAGAGCGTTCCAGACGGAAACTTAGTTGTAATATTTCCCGGGTGGTTGCTGCATAATGACTTCTGCTGTAATGTCGAGCCCTCTGTCAGTCAATCCGCTGCTGCCGGATGAAGGCCTCCCCCCACAACCGACAAGGTGCGGGTTCATACCTCACCACATTGGTCGGGTCCCGGTTGGTGAGAGGGTTGTTGGGCAAGGGGGGCGGGGAGGGGGTGGATGAGCGTGGGGGTCAAGACGTCCCCTGCCACTGATGTTGATCGTGGCCGGGAATAGAACTCAAGTTTTATGGATTAAGGATTCCGCAGTGCACAGCTACTCTGTCACCCCCCCCCCCCCAACTCCCCACGCCAGTTGCTGTTTCGTGTTGGTGAATTGCCTGCACGTGACGAATCTCCCAATGTATATTTGTTCATTATTATAATGAATCACGGTTGTTTTTTTATCCAGGGAAAATTCATCCGAATCCACTTTGGAGCCTCCGGAAAGCTGGCGTCTTGCGACATAGAAACCTGTGAGCACAAGCGTTTGCTTTTGTCACGACGTTGATTTGGTCGAGTCACAACACCGCCGCGTGGAGTTTTTTGTTGTTGTTGCGTGTGAGTGGCGGCGTCGTTGGCGTTTAACGATTTAATCTGCCAAACGAGCAATGTGTCCTTGCAGATCTGCTGGAGAAATCCCGTGTCACCTTCCAGCTTCCCACCGAAAGGAACTACCACATCTTCTTTCAAATAATCTCTCAGCAGAAGCCGGAGCTCATCGGTGGGTTTTTTTTTTAAATGGGCAAGTCGAAATGTCACGGGGCCGGATGTTGCTTCTCACGTTCATTTGACAGATGAAGGTGTTTAGGTTCTCATGGCTCTCCCCTGTTGCCGACATTTCTCTCCATCTGGAAACTGGCTCAGTCTTGTTGTTGTTGTTGAATGTCCAAATGTTGTGTTTGTCTTCCTCTCCCCACTGAATGCACCCCCCACCCTCCCGTGTACAGATAAACTTTCCACCTCCCTTCTGTCCACTTCTACCATCAATTAAATTTATTATATTTAATTAATTGAATGTATTTGCGCAATCATCAAGTGACTTTGAATGCAAGTGTAACAGTATTTGGATGCTTCGGACGCTCCAAATTGTTATTATTCCTAGTGTATCTGTAGTTTAATGCCTATCGTGTGTTTGTTTGTTTTATAGACATGCTGTTAATCACTACAAACCCCTATGACTATGTATTCATTAGTCAGGGTGAAATCACCGTGGCATCTATTGATGACAAAGAAGAGCTCATGGCAACTGATGTAAGCAGAAACAAGAATCAGCAAACGTGTCTTCATTACTTAACGTGCAGGCTGTTCACATATCTGACTGTTACATATCTGGCTGTCACATATCCACCTTGACCAATTGACCATCCACACCCAGTGCAGTGTTTGTGTGCGGTGGAAATACCGGTTCCTTCCCATCACACCTGTCAACCCCTTATCAGTGCCTACCTTATTACTCCAGACCAATTAACTCATTGGTCACCCCGTGCACTCTCAACGTTCATCCTACAAAGTCCCATCACAAGGGAGAAACGCAAATAAATCGGCAACATTTTTGCCCGTATTGAAACGGCTGTACGCCGCGTGGACCTGCACACTGTACAAGAATACGGGTTAAACCGTATGGGTTTGCAGTTATTTCCCATGGACATTCAGACATCTGACTTGTTCTGACTTATATTCTTGGTTCTTGCGGTAAAGTCACGTACAGTAGAAGGGTAACAATAACATAATAAAATATAAAACAATAAAATTCTCACGACGTTTCGACTGCAACACAAGCAATCATCATCAGGTGTGAAAACCACGGAACAGTTTATTTTTCTTGCTGTGGTTTTCACACCTGATGATGATTGCTTGTGTTGCAGTCGAAACGTCGTGAGAATTTTATTGGTTTATATTTTATTATTTTATTGTTTCCATTCTACGTGACTTTACCGAACGAACCAAGAATATAAATCCCTGCAGTCACGAAAGCTTTAAATAAAAATTTGTTCCGACTTGTTCGCATACAATCATGCGCCCTTCATCTCGCGTACATTCACTTTATTCCAAAGCACGGGTAATTAGCTTTCCACGCACAATGAAACCTTCTTGCCAGTATCAAAGCATGACAAAATAAGAATAGGTTTTAGCCTTTCTGGCAATAAACCTATTATTTTTCCACGTTCAAAGCAGTTTGCGCTCAATTTTTTTTGGTCCGGCAACCCATCCGCGTATGGTACAACCGTTATCTTCCAAAGGTGCATTCGCACCTTCCTACTCCTTCACAAACAGTATCCGTCCATCCGTAAATCGCCGAGCTGGCGGGGGACATCTGTGGCGTACCGCCACAGGAGCCCCGTCGCTTGGGCCCATCAAACGCCGCGCGTGCAGAGCGCCGCTGTCGTCACGGCTGGGTTTGCTACCCCGCGTCAATCCACCTGCGTGCCATTGTACGGACAGAGCGCCATCGACATCCTGGGCTTCACCAACGATGAGAAATTGAGCATCTACAAGCTGACCGGCTCCATCATGCACTACGGCAACATGAAGTTCAAGCAGAAACAGCGGGAGGAGCAGGCGGAGCCCGACGGTGTGGAGGGTACGTGCTTGTGCGCGTGTTTGCGTGTGGAAGCTGAACTTCTTTCGCACCGTACGTGGCCAACCGTGGTAATCGGAGGTGCGGGAGGGGAAGGACAACAAACTGAGCACAAAACAAATGAGTTTAAAACATACAAAGAATAGTCATACTGCAGCACTTCTCTTACCACAAATACAATACAAAGTGGCTACCACTTGGTTGCTTAAACGGTTTTATTTTTCGATTTAAAGATTTTTACATTTAACATTAAACAGTTTTACATTTAACATTTTTGACATTTTTTCTGAGTCTTCAATCTAGATTTAGAAGTGCATAGACACACTGTATAAGACACACAGATCTCGGTGGCATTCATTGTCCATGCCCGACTGATTTCTGCATGGGGTTAAACGTTACCATCTTCAACATTGACTCATTAAAACCTGAGCATTTCACCAGATCAACATTTGAGAGCTGTGGTTTTCCCCAGTAGAATTAGGGCCATCACTGAGGATGTTAACTTCATCGTTATCGACCATGGCCAACCCACTGCTGGATGAAGCCGCCGTGAATCTACAAAGCAACAATCCACGAAACAACCCACGAGCGAGCTGATGCCATTGCTCCATCTGTTCACTGATGGCCTTCGCGGATGTGTTCTACTGCTTGGCTGTCCATCTTTCCTTGTAGCGATGTGTCTTTCTCAAGCCCACTGACTTTTTCTGAACAATTTGGATGATGTTATTAACCCGCGTATGTTCTCTTATCCTTGTGTGTTCTCTTAACTGGCTCTCAGTGTGATTCCAAGCAAGTATCTCTCCACGCTTCTTATGGCCATAATAATTAAAATTACAGTGTTTGAGAAAAATTCAACCCCCCCCCCCCGCCACATAAAAGGGAGTAAGCGACGTGTACGTGTGTTTTATTCCACCGACAGACGCGGACAAGGCTTGCTATTTGATGGGAATCAATTCTGCTGACCTCCTCAAAGCCCTCTGCTACCCAAGGGTCAAAGTGGGAAACGAGGTTGTCACCAAAGGCCAGACAGTCCAACAGGTGGGAAATTAAAGCAACGTTGCAGGCACTTACAACAGGCACGTTTTGGTTGATGTTTGAAGTGGCGTTTGAACCGTTTTTTGATTAATTATGCCGACTTAAATCTCTCTCGCAGGTTTACAATAACATTGGTGCTCTGGCAAAAACTATTTTCGAGAAACTCTTCCTGTGGATGGTCATTCGCATTAACCAATCGCTGGACACAAAGAAGGCGAGGCAACATTTCATTGGCGTGCTGGACATTGCTGGCTTTGAAATATTTGATGTAAGTACCGATGTCATTGTTGTCTTTCGGTCATTAGCATCACAATAATAGTAGTTAACACTTATTTGTTAAATCCATACTGCATTCCAAGACACTATTTTTTCCAGGAAGCTCTTCCGTTTATCACATGTGAAAAAAGAGCTTCACTGCTCAGAGGATTTCTCCAGGATCAACAGAGATTCTGAGATGAAACATTTCTCTATATATGTGAAATTCTGTTTATTTATATATCTGTATTTATTTTAACAAGTTAAGGTTCAATGAGCTATGTAGATAATTTTCAGAAGCGACTCGGCTCCAAATGATGGCTCAACAAAGTGACTTATAACGTGGACATTTAAAGCAGCCGCATGCTCTAAACGCACGTTTATTCTAAATGTGGAGGGGAACGACTTGAGGACCCGGAGAAAAATCCACGTGACCACGGTGAAAACATGCAAACTCCAAATATACAACAGGCGTCAGGGTCGGGATCCAACCCACGACCTCTTGTATACAAGGCTAGGTAGTTAACATCTCGCCACCGTGGTACGATGTTATCTAGCTATGATTCTTATGTATCAGCTATGGTAAACAGGCGTGAGTATTTTAAATTATGTATTTTTGCAAGAGATACTCGATAATTACTGATTTTTAAAAAAATATTCATGCGCTTTGCATAAGTACATTCTCAATAGTTTTTTTTTTAATGCATTTTCAGTATAATACCTTCGAGCAACTTTGCATCAATTTCACAAACGAAAGGCTGCAGCAGTTCTTCAACCACCACATGTTCGTGCAAGAGCAGGAAGAGTACAAGAAGGAGGGCATCGACTGGGTCTTCATCGACTTCGGCATGGACCTGCAGGCCTGCATCGACCTCATCGAGAAGGTTTCGTTCGCACACAACGCCGCCCACCGCAACTCGGAGTGTGAGCGAATTGCCCCGGATGTATCTACTGTGGCGGTCTTGGGCATTGTGTCCATCCTGCAGTGTACGCCGCAGCCCGTCGATCAGCAGGTCAAACGACGATGACGATCGCCATCGTCGTTATCATCCTTATCAGGCATGTTCTGTTTAGGTGACAAACCTCACTAATTGGCTGTGTTGGGTGGTGGCGGGTTTAATGACACATTGATATTTACGCGATCAAACCCGAAAACCTCTTGTGGATTTTAAAGATTGTTGAGTTTTGTATTTAAGCAGACGGTGATGATTATGATAATCATGATTATGATAATCATCATCATCGTTATCAGTCTTGGTCAATTCTCTGTTGCATGAAGACCTCCCCCAAGCTGTGTCCATCTCTCGTCATCCTGCGACGCAGCGATCCGCCTGGCATCGGCCGATCTCTTCACTTCCATGCCCTCCCGCGGTGGATGTCCTCTCAGATGAGATTCCCACACTTGGCTGCCACTCCATCCCTTCGAGCGACGTGTCCTGCCCATACCCACTTTGTTAACAGTTTCAGGAGGTGTGGAGGAATAGGTAAAAATGTCATCTAGAGGAGCCCACGAGAGCTCCGTCGAGTGCAGGGGCTGCGCCTTTACCGTCTACTCTGCATTGAATTAGCCATTGCAGACCCATGGTCTCCACGGTTGAGCCTGTCAATTTCCATGCCCACTGCGTGAAACGCAGCAACGTGTGACGTGAACTTAAAATGCTCATCGTATTGTTTCAGCCCATGGGCATAATGTCCATCCTCGAGGAGCAGTGCATGTTCCCCAAGTCGAACGACAGCACCTTCAAGGAGAAGTTGTACGACCAGCACCTCGGCAAATCCAGCTTCTTCCAGAAGCCCAAGCCGTCGAAGGGGAAACACGAGGCTCACTTCACCCTCGGTCACTACGCCGGCAACGTGGACTACAACATCTCTGGCTGGCTGGAGAAGAACAAGGATCCACTGAACGACTCTGTGGTGCAGATCTACCAGAAGGCCAGCCTCAAAGTGCTCGGCGCTCTCTTTGCCAACTTTGCAAGCGCCGATGCCGGTAGGCAGCGACGATTCTAATACTATACCGAATATTCATTATTTTTATTTATATTACATGCCGCGTGTGTGTGTGTATAGATCTATTGTGGGGAGCGGTAGTGTAACGGTCAGTACACTCTACGAACCCGGCGACATGAGTTAGATTCCCGCTTACGGCCAGCATCGGTGACGAATATCTGTAACCGGTCCTGGGCCTGACCTAGGTCCACTCAGCCTCAAATGAGTACCTGGTGCGGTATGTAGATGTCGCCACTAGGGAGACAAAGGCGGTCGGGCGTGGTGGTGGCCACCCACCCCCTCGTGTGGCGTGCCGGCCTTCATAGGTGCTCACTAACAGCACTTGCCCCTACAGTCTGTTAAGGCTATAGGGGGGACCTTTGTCTTCATCTTTATATAAATCTATTATGTTACGTAAGATAAAGCATTCGATATAGCTTTATTTTAAAATAATCATAAATTAAACCATGCACAGCCCTTTGACCATCCAAGTGAGAACAATTTAAATTAATTTACATTATAGGAATATAGGAATAGGTTTTACCCTTTTAACTGGCACAAAAACTGACACCTTTACATTCTCAAGCAAAACCTGTTCAGATAATAATCGCTTATTATATTATAGGCATGTGTCAAGCCGTTGCTGGGTAAAGGCGACTGGATAATTAGCCACGCTTGGCACTCAAACTCACCGAGCACAGTGCAGTCAGCACGGTGCCAGCGCTCCACCCGACAGTCACTGATTTCATCTGAATGCACGTCCAGCCATAATCTCTCACTTGTCATGTATTGACAGATGCCGGAGGTGCAAAGAAGGCAAAGAAAAAGGGATCCTCGTTTCAAACTGTGTCTGCTTTGCACAGGGTACGTTGGTGCACTTGACGTGGCTGTTTTTAATATTTGCGCGGAAAGGGGGGTGTTATACTCGCAACGAACGCGTTTCTTTCCTGTAGGAAAATCTGAACAAGTTGATGACAAATTTGAAGACAACCCATCCTCATTTCGTCCGCTGCCTCATTCCCAATGAGACAAAGACCCCAGGTGCGTCCGTGTGTCGCTCGTGAACGTTCGCACCGAGAGCACCGCACTCGCGCGTTTTTAAAGATTAGTTTAACACGTGAGATTAGTGTTAAGATTAGTTTAACACGTGGTATTATCCATAGTCGAGGTTTTCGGGTTAGATCGTGTAAATATAAATGTGTCGTTAAACCCGCCACCACCCGACACAGCCAATTGGTAAGGTTTGTCACGTAAACAGAAAATGCCATCTCAAATGCCAATTCAATTAAGAACAAAACAGGAGGATTTATCCACGAATCTGGCTGTCGCCTGATGAAGCTAGTTGTAATTACTGGCAAAACGTCGTACTCAGATTCTAAATGTTGTGTATTTTCTCTCCAACACACCGGTGTAGTGCTGTACTAGTGACGAATTGGCCACGTTCTGTTCACGTGACAACCCTTACTAGTTGGCTGTGTCGGGTGGTGGCGGGTTTAACGACACATTTCTATATTTACATTATCTAACCCCAAAAAAAACCTAAATTATGGATTTTAAAGATTGTTTCATTTTAGATTTAAGCAGATGGCAATGATGACGATGATGATGATGATCGTCATCGTCATCATCGTCATCATCGTCATCAGCCTTGGTCAATCCTCTGCTGCATGAAGACCTCCCCCAAGCTATGGCCATCTCTGCGACGCAGCGATCCGCCTGGCACAGCCGATCGCTTCGCTTCCATGCCCTCTCTCGGTGGAAGTCCTCTCAGATGAGGTTCCCACACTTGGCTGCCACTCCATTGACCGTCTGTCATCATTCCTTCGAGCGACGAGTTCTGCCCATACCCACTTTGTTAACAGCCTGAGTGATCTCATAATCTGTGTAACGTTCCCTAACCCAAGTGTAAATTTTTCGACCTCGCATTGCAATTCCAAGTGTGTTTATTTTTGTGCTTTTTCAGTTTAAGCTCAAATTTATTTTGTCTATTAATGGCCATGTTTCTGACACGTGTGGTCACAGCAGGTCGTGTGGGCTTAACGTTCCCTCTCTTAGGGACTCCAGTCGCGTGAGGTTTTTGGACTGATTAATCGTTGCCCTCGAAACATCTCAAATGCCAATTGGGACCCCCCCCCCTCATCATTTAATTAGTCCTACAATTGAAGCGCTTCTGAAATGTAAACACCATTGCTCATCGATGCCCCTCACTCGCTCTAGGGGTCATGGACAACAACCTCGTGATGCACCAGCTGCGTTGTAACGGCGTGCTGGAGGGCATCAGGATCTGCAGGAAGGGCTTCCCCAACAGGATTCTCTACGGTGACTTCAAGCAGCGGTGAGCGCAGACAGACGTGGGCGCGCGTGTCTTGAGCGCAGCGTGAATTTAAGTCGCGGGCTTTCGCGACCACTATTGCGACGCGTATTTGATTGATGGGTGAGATAGTGCAAGTTAAACGTGCGCCATAGGGCCACGTGGAGGAGGGTTGACTTTGCTTCAAACTACCGCAATTACTTTTGATGTTCAATTCTGCATAAATTCCAACACATCCATCATTAATTATGACAGTCAATTGTTCAGTTTTTACTCTGAATTAGTTTTTTTATAGATATGTAACTACCATTCTTTAAAAACAGATTAAGGCTGAATGTTTCTTACCCGCATAAACAAATAAATATAAAATCAGTCAAATCAAATTATCTCTAACGATCATAAAAATGCCAAGTCAACCGATGTGATGAACATTCTCTGACCACATACATAATAGAAATTCTGCCATTGTTCATGTGCAGGTATCGCATCCTTAATCCAAGTGCCATGCCAGATGGGCAGTTCATTGACAACAAGACTGGATGCGAGAAACTCATGGATTCTCTGCAACTTGACAAACTCCAGTACAAGTTTGGGCACACAAAGGTAATTTCCAAAATGCACAAATACATTTTAAATCATGTACGTAGATCCAATACACGCTGCATACTCCCTCCTCTTCAAAGGCATCTGGGCAGCATGGAAGAGTCATCTTGTTTCCGGGGTTATTTTGTATGTACGTACGTTGAACTTCTTTCGCTCCGTACGTAGCCAACCGTGCTGATCGGACGTGCAGGGGGGAGGGGAGAGGGATCATAGAGAGAAGGGGGAGAGATCATAGAGAGAAGGGAGAGGGATCATGGAGAGAAGGGGGAGGGATCATAGAGAGAAGGGAGAGAGATCATAGAGAGAAGGGAGAGAGATCATGGAGAGAAGGGAGAGAGATCATAGAGAGAAGGGAGAGGGATCATAGAGAGAAGGGAGAGGGATCATAGAGAGAAGGGGGAGGGATCATAGAGAGAAGGGGGAGGGATCATAGAGAGAAGGGGGAGGGATCATAGAGAGAAGGGGGAGGGATCATAGAGAGAAGGGGGAGGGATCATAGAGAGAAGGGGGAGGGATCATAGAGAGAAGGGAGAGGGATCATAGAGAGAAGGGGGAGGGATCATAGAGAGAAGGGGGGGATCATAGAGAGAAGGGGGAGGGATCATAGAGAGAAGGGAGAGGGATCATGGAGAGAGCGGAGAGAGATCATAGAGAGAAGGGCGACGGACCCCAACATCTTCAGGGGCTGGTCAACGTGCTCTTCGGCTAAGCCAAGCTCGCCGTGTACAGGGCGAGGAAGGTGGCCCTGGAGGGGCAACGTCCGGCCAGCAGCCTGGGCATCTTCCACGCTCTGGTCGGAGCCAGGGTGTGGGCTGGAGTTCTGCCATGCGCGGCTGACCCACGCCGTGCCGGCCTTCAAGGAGCAGTGGGCGCTGGAGGAGGCCGTGTGCTCGGTGGCAGATGACGGTAGAGAGCTCTGTGCATGCAGATCTGAGCTGCCCGTCGGAGGCCGTTTGACTGTGGGAAGGGCTGCGTGCAGATGCAGCACTTGTCGTAGTTATATAAAAAAAGAGAGCGAGAGATTGAGCGAGAGAAAGCAAAATGGAGTAGAAAGAGAGGGGGCAGAGAGAGAGAGAGGGGGGGCAGAGAGGGGGGTAGAGAGAGAGAGAGGGAAGGGGTAAGGAGAGCAGAAAAAAAAGAAGAAAAAAATATTTTGTTGGGTCTTTCATTTAAAAGGGGGGGGGGGGAGGGGGGGTTTACATAAAGTAAAGCATAAAAAAACGAAATGATGAGCGGAGCAAAGTGCCAACTACACCGAGCATCTTCTTGTTTCCTCTGATCGTAAAAAAAAGAGAGAGATCATGGAGAGAAGGGAGAGAGATCATGGAGAGAAGGGAGAGGGATCGTGCGGGAGGTTGGGAGGAGGAGTCAGGCTTTAGTCCACCGAGTGGCTGGACTCTTGAGTCTTTGGGACACGAAATGAGGAATCCTTGAAAGGATTCAGTACAGCTGAAGTGTACCTTCCAGTGATCTCAGAACCTTAACCAGCTGTGTAAATACAGCACGGCTCCTCGTCCCTCTGTTCTCAAGAAGTGTCATTGCCCAAAGTGTCACCAGATCCCGCGCTCAGCCGCGCTCTGGATTGCAATTTGAAATCCGCCGCCTGCGTTAATTCGCCCCCTGTAAGTCCGCTCGACTCGTTTCACGGCTCCAGATCGTCTTCCGAGCCGGCCTGCTGGGAACCCTGGAGGAGATGCGGGACGACCGACTCTCCCTGCTACTCACGCGCACGCAGGCCGTCATGCGCGGCTACCTCATGCGAAAGAAGATGAAGCAGCTGATGGAAACAAGGTTGAGCGACGGCGTGTGTGTGTGTGCGTGTGTGTGCGTGTGTGTGGGCGCATGTGTGCGTGTGGGCGTGTGTGTGCGCGTGTGTGCGCGTGTGTGTGCGTGTGTGTGCGTGTGTGCGTGTGTGTGCGTGTGTGCCCGTGTGTGTGCGTGTGTGTGTGTGCGCGTGTGTGCGCGTGTGTGCGTGTGTGCCCGTGTGTGTGCGTGTGTGCGTGTGTGTGCGTGTGTGCGCGCGTGTGTGCGTGTGTGCCCGTGTGTGTGCGTGTGTGTGCGTGTGGGCGCATGTGTGTGTGTGTGTGTTGTGGGGAGCGGTAGTGTAGCGGTTAGCGCGCTGCGCTATAAACCTGGCGACCCGGGTTCGATTCCCGCTCACGGCCAACACCAGTGACGATTATCTGAACCGGTCCCGGGCCTCCCCTAGGTCGACTCTGCCTCAAATGAGTACCTGGTGCAGTGTGTAAACATCGCCACTAGGGAGACAAAGGCGGTCGGGCGTGGTGCTGGCCACCCACCCCCTCGTGTGCCGTTCCGGCCTTCATAGGTGCTCGCTAACAGCAATTGCCCCTACAGTCTGTTAAGGCTATATGGGGGATCTTTGTTTTTGTGTGTGTCCACGCCAGGAGAACGCGACAACTTCGTCCATCAGAGATGTTCACGCGCTTAATTTAGTCTAAATTAGTTTTTGTGCGCTGAATTCTAATGCATTCTCTGTCATGCTGGCAACAGCCAAAGGTTAATTTACATGAATAAAATAAGATTAGGTTTGACCCTTTCTGGCAATAAAACAGGAATGTTAAGATGTTCAAACACCAAATAGTCACCTTTTGCAAGGAATCACGTTTGAATTAACGTCAACTAACATATGCTTTATTTTTCAGTATCTGTTTTTAGTCGCGGGTTTTCGCGACCAATGTTGCGACGCATTGTTGATTGGTGGGTGAGATAGCGCAAGTTAAACGTGCTGTAGTTTAGTTTTAACTGAATTGTTTGGGATGTGCATGCGTGTACGAGTGGGTGGGGAGTGGTGGCCACAATGATGAATACGGTGACATGGGTTCAAATCATGGCCGTGGATGTCATGATTTACATGTGGTATCTTACTCAGCCTGTCCTGGACTACTACTAGGTAAACTCAGCCTGAAATTAGTATGTATTCCTCTGTGCAAACATCAGTACAGTACTAGGAAGACAAAGTCAGCTGGTCTGGGCAGAGTGCTGGCAATAGCACCCACATGTCCTCACAGCTGTCAACCCCTTGTCAATGCCCTACCTTATTACAGACCAATTCAGACCCTATTGGTCACCCATGCCCCTTATACATCGCAACGTTCATCCTACAAAGTCCCATCACAAGGGAGAAACACAAACAAATAGACAACATTGTTTTGCCCGTATTGAAATGGCTGTACGCCGTATGGACCTGAAAACTCAATTTCCCTGTACAAGAATACGGGTAAACCGTATGGGTTGACAGCTATGTGTCCTGTGCTTGCTTTAATAGGTACTTGCTAACAGTACTTAATCTTAGCAATCAATATGGCTATATTGGGATCTTTGTGTGTGTCTGTGTGTGTAAGGGCAGGGCACTAAATGGGATGTTTGTTTTGCATGTGCGCGCGCGCGTGTGTGTGTGTATAGGGATTCAATAATTGTTATCCAGTACAACATCAGGATCTTCATGGGTGTGAAGAACTGGCCGTGGATGAACCTGTACTTCAAGATTAAGCCTCTGCTCAAGTCCGCCGAATCCGAGAAGGAAATGGCGAACATGAAGGAGGAGTTCATCAAGACCAAGGAGGCCCTTGAGAAGTCAGAGGCCCGGCGTAAGGAGCTGGAGGAGAAGATGATCTCCGTTGTGCAGGAGAAACACGACCTCCTCATGCAAGTTGAGAGCGTAAGGTTAAATCGTTGTCTTTGGCGAGCATCAACCTGAAAACGAGCGTCTCCTTTCTATTCATCAGGCACCCTAACGCTGCTACCGCCACAGCATTTGTCACAGCACCATTCTCATTCGCCAATTGTCTAACCTCTGCTGGATGAAGGCCTCCCCCGTATCATGCCGTCACTAACCCTCATGGTTCGATGCCGCTGCCACCATCGATCTCAGCCCTGCGCGTGAACTGAACATATCGATCCGGTTCCGCAGAGGACTGCGAGAAGAAATCAAAATGCACTGAGAATACATGGAAACATATACTAAATACCGTGTGTCAGCGTGTCAACGTATCAGTCCCCTTACATTTTCTTAAAATAAGATTAAAATATACGTAGAAAAAAAATGCGCTTTCAAAATCACCATATTTAGAGCATTCGAGTGATTTAAGAGAACGTCCTAATTTCTATTTAATGTAACTCTTGAAAGATCGATGACTTTAAAACAAGATGTACGTAACTTCTAATAGATAACAACAACAACAAAGGACGGCATTACCTTGTTCTCTAGGTTGAAGGAACGATGGGTGATGCGGAGGAGCGATGCAACGAGCTGATCAAGTCGAAAATCCACTTGGAAGCCAAACTCAAGGAAGTGCAAGAGAGGGCCGACGAGGAAGAGGAACTGAACGCCGAGCTGACGACCAAGAAGCGAGCGTTTGAGGACGAATGTTCCGAGCTCAAGAAGGACATCGATGACCTCGAGTTAACCCTCGCCAAGGTCGAAAGGGAGAAGCACGCCACTGAAAACAAGGTGGGTTCAATTCAAGCTCTCGCTCGCTAGCTCGCTCGCTCACTCGCTCACGCGCGTGTGCGTGTGGCGCTCGAATGAATCGCCGCGGTCCGCAACAATTCATTCGGGCGCACGGCACCCGATTCCCCCGGGTGTGCTCTCGGAGTCGCGCCGTGGGCTCGTTGGGGCGCGTTGTGACGAGCCGTGTTGTAAGGTGGCTACGGGCACCTGGGAGAGGAATAAACCTCAGACACCCTTGAACCAAACCTGTTCACCGCCGTACGGTCGCTTCACATATATGTGGTGTCAAAGTATTTGGCGACGCTCTCGTTTGCAATGCAGCTTCACGGCGCATTAGATTCCTCCAGTATAACTACAGATTGTGATTCTGATTCTGCAATGGTACACAAGCAAAAAGTAACACAAACGCATCTTGAGATATTAATCAAATATGCGTGTAGCGTGCCCACGGGCAGAGTTTTGGGTGGGGAGAACTGGGGGGCAACCCCCCCCTCCAAACTAGACACCTTTATTAATTTATTTTCAGTAGTTTACAATTAAGATTCAAAATAAATTTATTATATGCACCCGCGATTCCTAATGTGAGGGACAAAGTTAACCCCTGCCCCCCTGCCGCCCCCAAATATAGGAGTCAAAACTCTGCCTATGAGCGGTGCCTTGCAGCAAATAAAAAAAAAACTAATAAAAAAACAAACAAAAAATAAACAAACAAAAAAATAAACAAACAACAAAAAATAAACAACCAAAAAAATAAACAAAAAAATACACCAAATAAAGCAAAAAAGACAAGAAATAAACAAAACAAAACAAAATAAACAAAAAAACTAAAAATAAACCAACAAAAACTAGCAAAAAAACCCTACACGTTTCATTTTCGTGCAGGTGAAAACCCTGACCGAGGAGATGGCAGCGTTGGAAGAGAACATCGCCAAGCTGACGAAGGAGAAGAAGGCCCTGCAGGAGGCTCACCAGCAGACGCTGGACGACCTCCAGGCGGAGGAGGACAAATCAAACTCCCTGGCGAAAACCAAGGCCAAGCTTGAGCAGCAAGTGGACGAGGTACGTCTCCCGTGCGATCGCGCAGCCCCGCGAATCGTTTGCTCACGCACCACTTTGCCCCGATCGCGTGTGACCGGCCGATCGACCCAACTGTGGTCAACCCGTTTACAGAGGTGCGAGGCGGGAAGGGAGGGGGGAGCATTGAATAAACTTGCCCAATTAATTGATCACGACCATGGATCGTGACGATCCCGCAAATGAGCTGGGTGTTGTAGAATTTGTTTGACACAATTTTTGTCACGAACCCTCCCACCACCTGACAAGATTGTCAGGTATTATTAGTTTTTGTTCTCGAATGGTGAATGTTGTGGGTTTACTCTCCAACACACCGGTGTGCTGAACTCAAAACAAATTGGCACGTTTTGCTTACGTGACAAACCTTGTTGATTGGCGGGTTTAACCACGCGTTTATATTTACGCGATTTAACACCAAAAATCGCTATTATGGATTATCACTATTACTATTCATACGTTGCCAATGTATTGACCAAATTCTGACCAATAAAAGCTCCTCACCGGTGGCTTCAGACTTTTCACGGCTGAATTCAACATCAACGCACGATCACGTTTCGCTCAAACTGCTTTGAATTTCTTCTGACAATGAACTCAGGAAGCAAGGGCAGGGAGATTACTGGTTGAAGCTCACAAGCGGTTTGAGTTTCAAGGAATAATACAGGGTGCTTCAAAATAGTTTTAACACTTCTGAGAAATTGCAACAACACCGCAGGAAATGTGCCTCCAGGCTCTGGACCCCACCTGGAGAAGATTCCAGGCATGAGGCACGTGTTGACAATGATGGCGAACAAGTTATTTTTTTTTTAAAGCTCTTAACATGCATTTGTTATCACGTTACAATGCATCATCCATTCTTTTTCCACAAAAAAAACCGATAGTCCCATATTAGTGTTAACATTTTTTTAAAACACCCTGTATATGCAATATTTATTTAAACCATTCCAGGGCAAAATGCTAATGTGTACGATCATTCATTACGCCCGACATTCATTTCTGCGCAGCTTGAAGGTTCTTTGGAACAGGAAAAGAAAACTCGCATGGATGTCGAAAGAGCGAAGCGGAAAGTGGACGGCGACTTAAAAATGTCCCAGGAGGCTGTGACAGATCTAGAAAACGACAAGCAGCAGTTGGAAGAAAAGATGAAAAAGTAAGCCGAGCACCGAATTCACCTCGCGATGCGCCACCACGCGTGACTGACCGTTCGGAACCCTCTCGGTGCACCGCCGTGATATTGTCTGTGTGTGCCATTCGCACACCGCCCACAGCACCGCCCATTACCATTCACGACCGTTTTGCAATGTGAACTTTCTTGGCACCTAAACGCAACCGCATATGAAGAGGCTGTACCCAACAGTGGGATCTGCATTTTCACGTGGGGAAATTGGGCATGTATATGCACAATAATGTAGGGTTGTAATTTCAAATGAGTGGATGCAGGTTAAATCTGCCAGACCGCCCATGCCGTTGTTTCCCATGATGCTTTGCTTATTGCAAGGTCAGTGCTGTGTGTGCAGTTCTTTGTCTTCAGCTTACACGGGAGAAGGAGCCCTGTTGCAGAAGCGTGTATCGCACACGACATGCCCAGTTTGAAAATTCTGCTTTTGAAACGTGCGTTTATATGCATGGTATACTGCGCATTACAACGTGTAATCATTTTTGGATTATGTTTATGAAGGAAAGACGTGGAAATCGGACAGACCAACTCAAAAATGCAAGATGAAATGGCTCTCTCAGCTCAGCTACAAAAGAAAATCAAGGAGCTGCAGGTAAAAGGAGGGCGCCGATAAGACGACTGAAGCTCAATTGAGGGGTGTCCTGGGGGAAAAAGTACGATGACTCGTGTTTAATCCTTAGATAACGCACACTGACGCAGGCCATGGACACCTGCGTCAAGAATCAATTGGGGTCACGCAACGAGATGATTGTAGGGGCACAACTTATGGCTCACACACCCCACCATCCCCGTCTAAAATTTTGGGGGGAACTTGCCATGTCTATGATCGGCGTGATGCACCGACGTTTCGCTCCACGTTGCTTCAGTTGCACGTCGGACAACGCGCGGTGCAACCTGAATGAACGTCGGAGAGCAACGTAAACTTCCACCCCATGGAATCCCCCCGTTGTATTTCAGGCGCGCATCGAGGAGCTGGAGGAGGAGATCGAGGCCGAGCGTGCCGCTCGCGCCAAGGTGGAGAAGCAGAGGTCCGACCTCTCTCGGGAGCTCGAAGAGATCAGCGAGAGGCTGGAGGAGGCCGGCGGAGCCACCTCGGCTCAGATCGAGATGAACAAGAAGAGGGAGGCCGAGTTCCAGAAGCTCAGGAGGGACCTGGAGGAGGCCACCCTGCAGCACGAAGCCACGGCCGCCGCCTTGAGGAAGAAGCAGGCCGACTCCGTGGCCGAGCTCGGGGAGCAGATTGACAACCTGCAGCGGGTGAAGCAGAAGCTGGAGAAGGAGAAGAGCGAGTTCAAGATGGAAGTCGACGACCTCAGCAGCAACTTGGAGCAGATCACAAAGTCCAAGGTGAAACCCGTGAAAGCATTCGCTCCCTGTATAGCATCGATGAATATTGTTTCTGGGCGGTTCTGAGGCTGAAAATTCCAACCGTAGATCCTGCTTATCCTGACCAGTTTAGGCAACTGTGCCTGTAACACCTTTGCTACCTTGCCTGAGCTGTTTCTGGCGTGCCCATCGTGTTTTATTCGTACTTTCATAAGCTCTTTTTCTTTTCATTTTTCCTGCAGATTAATTTTGAGAGGTTATCCAGGTCCTTGGAAGATCAGATTTCTGATTTGAAGTCAATTAACGAGGAAAAGCTCCATTCCGTGAATGAACTTACCACTCAAAAAGCCAGAATGCAGACAGAAGTTGGTAAATATGTATTCTATCATAATGAATGCATTAAAATGTTCATGTTAAAATACTGAAAAGAAATCACGTGGTACAGTTCAACTTCCCAACATTGTATATAACATAACATTCACATTTCACATTTAAAATGCTCTCGACTCTGTTTTTTTTACACGACACGTTGACCGCCAACAGCCGAATTATCTCGTAAGCTGGAAGAAAAGGAGACTCTGAATGGGCAGCTCTCCAGAGTAAAACAGTGCAACAGCCAACAAATTGAGGACTTGAAGAGACAACACGAGGATGAAGTCAAGGTACCAACGAAACCCGAGATGCCGACTCGGATAACGGCCATCGTCATTGCCAATCATCGCTTTACTCCTCATGAACATCACACGAGTGAGTCTCTCCCCGTGACCATTACCCCCCGCTCCTCCGCATTCGCATGCCTTTTTCATTTCATTTGTATACACACACGCGCGCCGACTCATTTCCCACTCGGTCCCCCGTCTGATCGATTGACAGCTGCCACCTTCGCCCATGATTTATCCCACGCGCGTCTAATTTGCATCCCGTGGTCAGTTGCATGCAGTCCCGGAAATGTGCGTGGAGCTGGCCGTCGGTCCCGTGCATTCTTTGTAGCAGAACAAAAAAAGTTGCGGTGCCAAGCAGCCGAAAGCTTAAAGAATGTCTTATGCTGCAGCTGTCCCTTGGAGAATATCTCGCTTTGGGAATGACTTCCTATTATTAGACTCAACAGGCACTGGTGCTGTATTTAGCACGCACGGTACGCACGTTGTCCCCTGCGAGTGTTTATTTGTGTGAGCCTGAAGGAAGACAAAATATATATTTCAGCCAGTCAAATTATATAACCTCTTGATTGTAATTATGGCTATGGGAACATTAGAGGGCAGGAGTGGCACTCCCCCCCCCTCCACCACCACCACCACCACCACAAATGTGTGCATTATTTCCAGTACTCATTTGTAACAAGTAATTGAATATGGGAAGTGATGCTTTACGTCGTGTAAATGAGAGAGTAACCTGTAAACGTGTTGTGTATTCACTATTTAACACAACACGAACGCGTAATGTTCTACCGACATGTTTTCGGGTGCTACCTTTGTGCTGTTTGCCGTGATGCGCGGTGTTTCACTCCGCACGGTGGGACGTTCCACGGGAACGAAAGCGACGAACGTGCCCAAGAGGCTCTCCGTTCGTCATGGATACAGAGTGCTGAAATCGGAACATATCCGGGAACGAAATTTATTTGTGCATCGCAGCCGGTCTGTGAGATACGGCGGCAGATTGATGATGGCTGATGATGATGATGAAACAGGAGGAATTCTCCACAAGTCTGGCTGTCGCCTGATGAGGCTGGTTGTAATTATCGGCTAAATATTCGAATTGTAAATTTGTGTGGGTTTACTCTCCAACACACAACCGGTGTGCTGAACTCATAACTCATTGGCACGTTTTGTTTACGTGACAATCCTCACTAATTGACTGTGTCGGGTGGTGGCGGGGTTTCACGACACATTTATATTAACGCGATTAAAGCCCAAAAAACCCCCTCTCCGCTATTGACGAAATTAACGAATTTCTCGAAACATTTAGGCCAAGAACGCCCTGGCCCACGCCGTGCAGTCGGTGAGGCACGACTGCGACCTCCTCCGCGAGCAGTTCGACGAGGAGCAGGAGGCCAAGGGCGAGTTGCAGAGGGCCATGTCCAAGGCCAACGCCGAGGTGGCCCAGTGGAGGACAAAGTACGAGACAGACGCCATCCAAAAGACCGAGGAGCTGGAGGAAGCCAAGTGAGACCAGCGATGAGATTTTGCAACGCAACGCGGCCACCCTCGGACACGTGGACGCGGGCGGTGAGGCACAGTGTGAGCTCAAGGACCCGTCCACGTTCAATGTTGTCGCTGCCTTGCAGGAAGAAGATTGCAGTCCGTCTCCAGGAGGCAGAAGAGCACATTGAAATGGCCAACGCGAAGTGTGCTTCTCTTGAGAAGACCAAGCAGCGTCTGCAAGCGGAGATCGAAGACCTCACGACTGACGTGGAGCGAGCACACTCGGCCGCGACAGCTCTCGACAAGAAACAGAAATCCTTTGACAAAGTAAGAACACATCACAGCACAATGCGAACGACGACATTGTGCTGTGATGTGAGATGCCGCCGTGGTGTTCGAGCACCCTGGACTTGCGACCCGGAGGCCGCCGGTTCGTTCTCATGCGCGCGGCAATTGAAGCAACGGTGCAAGTTTCTTAAATCCTATGCAGCGCCCTGCGTCCATCCACCCAGCAGTGTAGATGGATACTCCACGGTTAGTCGAATGGCAGGTGCTGGATGGTGTGGCCAAGGAGTTGTGCACATTGACCATCTTAACACCTCCTGTTTGATTGCCAGAAAGAGTAAAACCTATTCTCATTTTTCATACTCTGATACTGGAACAAAAAGGTCCTCGCAGATATAGCTGCTCAACCCGAGCTATAGATGCTCTGATACGTACATTGTATTTGTACTGTTCGCCTTTAGGCATTCTCTGGTCTGACACTGGTGACGCTGTACAATGCCATATGTAATTATCAGAGCATGTTTTATTTGCATGTTCACCACTAGTACGCGCGGTTAATGCAGACTTCATTCCTTGCAAAAGGTATTTATTTGGTGTTTAAACATCTTAACAACTCCTGTTTTGTTGCCAAAAAGGGGTAAAACCTATTCTTATTTTTGATACAGTCCTGATGTGGTTGATCACCGATATGTATTTGAAGTATGGTCAACCAAGCCCTATGACTGACGCAGCAATGATGAGGCTTTCACATGGCTGTGGACTTGCAAAGGGAATTAAATGAGACATTTAATTCCATAAAAAAAATCTGTCACAACGAAACGGCGCAGAGGCACATATTGTGCACGAGTGGATAACGTTGTGCCGCTGTGCTTCTTTGGATGATGGCCATGTAACTGTCATCCAGGTTCTGTCCGAGTGGAAACAGAAGTGCGAGGAAAGCCAGGCTGAGCTCGAGGGGTCCCAGAAGGAAACGCGCTCGCTCAGCACGGAGCTGTTTAAGATTAAGAACGCGTACGAGGAGGCGCTGGAACAACTTGAGACAGTCAAGCGAGAGAACAAGAACCTCCAGGGTAGTGACGCGTTGTCTTACGAGCGCATCATTGTCCTATTGCCGACTGAAATAATTCTGTCAACAAAATTTTTCATGCCATTTCGCTCTTCCACTGCGTCGGCTCTCGCGGTTGTGCTACGCAGCCCTGCGGTGTGATTTTCGGGGAAGCACAGCGTGACGTTTGGCAACGATGTCCGTCGTTTCGCTGCACGTCCTGGGGTTTTTTTTCAAGGAACGATTCCCCCGCTAAGAGGGAAATTTTAGACATCGCGCCAAATTATACCGCACCTCCGATCAGCGCGCTTGGCTACGTACGGTGCAAAAGAAGTCGAACGTGCATACAACACGTGGTAGCGCCCCGAAGGACGCACCAGGGAGAGTCGTTTCCCTTTGTACGTTTGAATCGATGAATGAAATGTTAACTTTTTTTTTGAGTTTCAGAAGAGATTTTGGACTTGACCGAACAACTCGGAGAGAGTGGTAAGAATGTACACGAGCTGGACAAGTACAGGAAGCAGCTCGAGCAAGACCAGGCTGGCCTGCAGGCTTCTCTCGAAGAGGCAGAGGTGAACGCCGATGTGTGAGCGCGTGGCCGGCGGCCTCCATTATCAACCGCATCATCTGCAGTTTCTGCAGAACTACTGTCAATTGCATTACAAAAACGTCAACACGTTCATGAATAACAGTGCCCGAATAAAGAGGAAAAAAAATTGCGTGAGGCAACATTTTTAACAATGGCCCTTCTTCATAGTGGAGGTGTGGAGATGCCAGAGTGGTTGGTTCAGAGATTCCATTATAAACCACGGGGCTATGATAATAAAAATATATACACAGATATAGAATTTCAAGGACGTTTTTTTTTATTACATTAAATGGCAAATTAATGGTTATCTAGTATTAGATATTAATAACGCAAGAAAATGTGGTTTTAATGTTTCATTACAGGCTTCTCTGGAGCACGAGGAAGGCAAGATTCTCCGGGTGCAGCTCGAGCTGAACCAGGTGAAGGCAGAGGTCGACCGCAAGATCGCCGAGAAGGACGAGGAAATCGACCAGATCAAGAGGGGCTTCCAGAGAACCGTGGAGTCCATGCAGGCGACGTTGGACTCCGAGACCAAGAGCAGGAACGAGGCGCTCAGGCTGAAGAAGAAGATGGAGGGAGACCTCAACGAGATGGAAATCCAGCTCAACCACGCCAACAGGCAGGCGGTCGAGTCTCAGAAGCACCTGCGCAACGCGCAGAACCAAATGAAGGTATTGCTCTGTGCATCATTTCACCAGCCTTTATTTGACACGTTACAATTTCAGAGCCTGGTTTTCTTTATGTAAGACTGCACCGTTACCTCTGCCCTTGTGGTTGGGCCTTTTCACTGAAATATTCATTCAATGTAACTAATCATCCCTATTGGTTGATAAAAAAAAAACAAGTACTACTTTGTGGGATGCCAAGAGTGGTTGTTGGCTCTATGGCAGGGGTGGGGAAATAATTTCCTGACTGAGGGTTGAACGGCACCTTGGCGGGCCATGCATTTGCACAAAGACAAAGATCCCCCTATAGCCTTAACGCACTGTTGGGGCAAGTACTGTTGCGAGTAGCACCTATGAAGGCTAGGCACTGTGACACACGAAGGGGTGGGTGATTAACACCACGCCTCGCTGCCTTTGTCTCCCCCAGTGGTGATGTTTCCACACCGCACCAGATACACATTTGAGGTTGAGTCGACCTAGGAACCGGTTCAGAATAATCGTCACTGGTGTTGTGGTGGCCGTGAGCGGGGATTGAACTCGGCTTCGCCGGGTTCGTACGCTCCGGGCGCTAACCGCTACACTATCGCTTGCCACCAGAGACAAAGGTTCCTCCGTGTAGCCTTAGCAGACTGTTGGGGCAAGTGCTGTTAGCGAGCAGCACCTATGAAGGCCACGCATTTGCAGACACACACAGCTCAATGTGCCCTGCAAGGTGCCCTAGCAGTGGCAGAAGTGACTGAGGGTGTTAAAATTAGAAACACCGTGGTGGTGGTGTTGTTGTTGTTGCCGGGTACAAAACGTGTTCCTGCATCTTACAATAAGCGTGGCAAACATCATTATTGGAGTGATAGATACATATTTGGGCATGGGGGGGGGGGGGGGAGTTTGAATGTGGTAGTAGGCCTCATGTGATTGCAGGCCATGTGAGAGAAATGTGGCCCAAGCGGGGCCATAGGTATCCCACTCATCCTCTTTAGAGAGTCTCGTGTCTGCCATAGGGGTGAATAAACTTCCACCTCTGGTTCAGAACCTGCACGTGAATCGGGGCTCCAGCTAACGCTCTTTAACTAGTCACACCTTTGATGTCGCTCTTGAGCAGTGGTTCTTCACCTGGGGTGCACGCTGCTCCCCGTGAGAGTGCGAGGTGCCCTTTCTGGGGGGTGCGAGACACCGGCCAGATTTTTGTTCGAAGGTAAATCATCGAAACACAAATTAAGCACGGGCACGTAAGTACAACTACTTTGTTTAATCAAATCGATGTATTTGTCAACATTTAGCGATGGAGAACCAAAGGGGTGCAAGGCTTCAGTCAAGGCATTAGCTTCCGCTAGCAGTGGCATTATCATCAGCAACAAAAAAAGCAACACCGCGCACATTTATCTCAACTTTATTTTCCCACTTACCCCCCCCCCCCCCACTTTTTCAAATGCGCCCCGATTCCAGGATCTTCAGGTGCATTTGGACGAGGCGCTGCACGGCAACGAGGACTTGACGGAGCAGAACGCGATGCTGCAGCGTCGCAGCAACCTCCTGCAGGCCGAGATCGAGGAGATGCGTGCCGCCCTTGAGCAGACGGAGAAGGCCAGGAGGCTGGCAGAACACGAGCTGCTTGGCACCACCGAGAGAGTGCAGCTGCTGCATTCACAGGCAACAACAAAGATAAAAGGCGTATAAATCCCGTGATTAATCGTGAAGCTCCAGTGGCGGTGCTTGATGGATTTATTCCGGTCTCAAATGACCATGAACACACACACACACTCTCACTCTCACACACGACTAAATGTGTTTGATGAGTGACACGCAGTACATCTGAATTCTTCCACTGTAATATCAGGCGTGGGTTTTGAAGATTTTGAAGGTTTTGAAGGGTAAAAGTATAACGCGCCATTTCTGAGCACAGGCCCAAGGACACCCCGTGGGACGAGTGAAGGTGTCGTGAACAAGCGTTGCTGCAACTCTTGATATGACAAATATTATAATAACGTCAAAAGTAGAAATGACGAGAGGGAGAGAAAGAGTGTTTGGGGCCTGTTTTCACATGCCGCGCTGGTTGAACGCAGCATGGATGAGACAAAACAATCAAATCTAGACAGCCGTATGTGCAGATATTTTAGATATATCAATTCTGTAAAAATATATTTAATACAATACTGTAATCGCACTTGAAACAAGTCTGATGTAGCATTAATCCGTATTATGGCCAAGTAATTAAAATATGCCACGCTTCGAGGAGCCAGATTCCCCATCGTGATGGGAAAAATCGAAGCGTGTAAAGTCGCAGTGATTTTTTTCCGTATTGGTGGTGCATTGGAACCGTGGGTTGGCACACTGCGGCGGAAACCCGGTGACCCCAACTCGATTGCTGCCTATTTGTGGCGATTTGATATCTGAACCGGGATTGGGCAGCCCCCCCCCCCCCAATTTCGCCAGCCTGCGCTGACCAGCGTGGCGGTGGTGGAGTGGTCACAGAGCGCCCTGAATGAGTTGGCATGGGGAAGGGAGGGGGGGGGGCTTTATCCAGCATTGGATTGAATGAGCTCAGTGGTAGATATATTTTTTAATACACAGGCTTGTACTCCTGTATTGTTGGTGACGTGAGTTATTGTAGCTTCGGCATTCTGTATGTACCGTTAATACTTTGTACGATGAATCTAAACATGTGTTTGCAAAAAAAAGCATTTTTCAAAATATACATCGATACAAATAATTCCAAGTTAAAAATGTAGAATACTTAACACGTTTATCGATAACTTTGTGGCCTTAAAATGAAAACTATATCATACGTGACATTTTCGTCAATGGGTTCAGAGGGCATAGTGATGGAGTGGTTAAGAGTTGTGGCTCGATCAGAATAGAGAAATAAAAAAGGTTTCTTGATGAACAGTTTTTTTTATTGTTAATAATTATTATTGACATGTGCATATACAACACGTGCTGTCACGTCGTTCTTGTTTTTCAGAATACGTGTTTGATAAATTCGAAGAAAAAACTAGAAAGCGACCTTTTCCAACTTCAGTCTGAGGCTGAGGAAGCGCTCCTGGAGGCGAGAAGCTCGGAGGAGAAGGCCAAGAAGGCCATCACTGACGTGAGGAACCGCATCGCTCTGTTGAATGTTGAATGTTTCGCTGAGGGCAGAGCAAACTCCACCGATACGGTTGCCCACGAAACAACATCACGTGATACGAACGTCCACGTTACGAGTCCGATTGGCACGGTCGGCTACGTGCGATGCGAAAGAAGTCCAACATACGCACATGAGTATTCTCGCGATGTCAGTGTCTTTATTAAGTCGCGACGTGACGAATTGCCGTCCCGGATGGCCAGGCCGCCATGATGGCAGAGGAGCTGAAGAAGGAGCAGGACACGAGCGCCCATCTCGAGAGGATGAAGAAGAACATGGAGCAGACGGTGAAGGATCTGCAGCACAGGCTGGACGAGGCCGAGCAGATCGCGATGAAGGGTAGCAAGAAGCACATTCAGAAGCTCGAGGCCAGGGTAATTTTCCCGTCGGTAGTGTATGCATACTGCCGTAGGATGGAGCAATGGCACAGTGGTCGGTACACTGCACTACAAACCTGGTGACCTGGGTTCGATCGCTGTTCCACTGATAACATCCAGGATGATTGATATCCAACGCCAGTCCTGGATTCCTTCCTTCACTAACTCGCATTGACCAGCTCGGTGAAGCATGGCCAAACTACCCCCCGTGACAACACGGTGTTGAGAGGAATCTATGCAGTAGTGGATTGACAAAAGACCAACACTATAAGACTGGAACTAATGTTAGTCGATGTCTATCTCTGTGTCTCATTATGTACATACAATTTCCGAGCTAGAGGATTTAATCGGGACTGGCTTCAAATGCCAAGCAGAGTTGACTCAGTCTATCATGCATCTGCGATAAGTGACTCCACATTTTGTGGGAAGTCACCAGTCGTCATCCTATACTGAGACTTGGTTGAGTACTGTCAGAGGAAGTTGGAATTTTCAGAAATAGTTGACACTCAACTTCAGAGATTCCTCTGATAGTGCTTTGGCCTTTTGGACTGGTGATGCATGAGATGCATGACTCTTTCTCTTCACGAAATCTCCAGGCAGCGGTCTTTCCATTTTCTCTTTGTACATTGCTGCATCTTTAAACCGAGATAGATTCCATCCCATGCGACATGCCAATCATGTCTAAGTCAGTGTATTTCTGTAAGACAGGCATTCCTGCTCTTGCTTGCTCATATGCGTGTTTGAAATAAACACGCCAAAGGCACCACCGATACATTTTATGTTTCCCAGGTGCACGAGTTGGAGACTGAAGTTGACGCTGGACAAAGACGGAATTCGGAAGCAATCAAGGGGACACGGAAGTACGAATCTAAAATCAAGGAACTCTCCTTTCAGGTAACTGCTGTGAGCAGTATTGCGATAAACCCAACAATAGACATGTACGATAATGTATTCTCATAGATTTTAAGCATTGCTTGAATGCGGTGCAGTGCAAGGGTGCTGCGATATATCCACAGGCTGAAGAAGACCGTAAGAATTTGCTGCGTCTGCAGGATCTGGTTGACAAGCTACAGCTTAAAGTCAAAGCTTATAAGAGACATTCAGAGGAAGCTGTGAGTTGTGACAATGCCCAGACAGATCACTTATACTGGGGCTCCACAGAAACACAGTTACAATGTTGCACTTTCCCAAAAAACGTTGAGTAGTTTTTTTTATGGTGAAGGTGCTGCCCTGCAATTGCTTGCGCGCTGCTTTGAAGAAGGGGCCTCCACTAGTAACACCTCCACTCTACTGGGCTCCTCAAAAGGGTGTTTTGGCTTCCCTTCAACACTGTCCAGACGGACATGCGACCAGCCGATAGACTTAACCGTGGCTCTGCCGATTTACTCGACACGCTGCATTTGCAAATCACCACGGGTGAAATAAATAATTTCAACAGGAAAAAAATGTACATTAAAAAGTGCTAAATATTACAACCACAGGCGTAAATCCTTCACTCAAGAGAAATCAACACATGATGTTCAACAGGTTATTAATCAGTCTGGGATGTTATATTAAATTCACACTATTTACAGAGCAATTACATTCCACTTGGGACATTAAAAACAGCTATTCGATCTGGCAGACGCAGTGGTTTCAATTTCAAAAATTGACAGCCACCAAGGCGTTAGTGGCTGCTATAAGACATCACAAGCGTCGGTATTTAATTTACTATCTTCAATTCCATGCTCCGGTGAAATGTGATCTTGGACGTGTAGCCCTAAAATGTTAAGGCCCCCATAAACCCACAACCTTGGTCGCTTGTAAAAGCTGCATCCCATCGTCCGCGGTGCAGGAGGAGCAAGCGAACGTGGGCCTGTCCAAGTATCGCACCCTGCAGCACGTGCTGGATGAGGCTCAGGAGAGAGCTGACATCGCCGAGTCTCAGGTCAACAAGCTGAGGGCCAAGTCTCGTGATGTGGCCAATCAAAAGGTAAAAAAAAGCGAGGCCTCGCAAATTAACTCGCTGAGGCAGGCCGCTGCTGGTGGGAAGGGGTTCAAGAGAGAGCCCCCCACCCCCCTACCCTGAGAGGTGGGATCGAACCAGCAAACCTCTGGATTGCAAGTACAGGGTGCTAACTATTTCACTTCGGCAGTATCCCGATTAAAAAGTACGGGAAAGTACTTTGTACAGAAAGAAGACCACGTCCATAATAGATCGACACAGCCAACTAGCAAAAGAAGACCACGTGTTTAGACAGAGACTTTCCCCTATCCCCACGAATTAACAACTGGTTAATGGACGTCATTGTCACTAACTCAGTGCCAACGTTGAGAGAGAATCAAAATGTTCACACAAATACAGATTTCACATTGCAACTATTCACTTGTGATCATATTGTTGTTTACATGTCCTTAACGCAAACAGTTCTTCATACAATTGAGCTTCAAATGCATTGGTAAATAATAACGTCAGTCTGTTGACATGTTTACTTCATCAAAAGTGCACTGGGCAGTTTTGAGGCAATTGCATGTCGTTTTTATTGGAATAGACGAAGTGCTTTTGGGAAGGAATCAAGTTCAGTCAATTCTAGTTGTGGGAAAAAAAATATGCTGGTGATTATGCACACGTGATGGGCTCAATAGCGGCGTGTGGAGAGTAAATGTGGAGGTGGAAATGCGGCGTGGAAGGGCATGGTGGTGTAACACAAGCTTCGCAGATACTCGACAGTGCACATTAAAATACGAGCATCTCGCCAGGTCCCAGAGGAGTTGTTAAACATCGGTGACATCACACAAACACTTTAAAAAGTGTAAACAAGCCAGCTAAGTTTCGATTTAAAGCTTTCGTGACTGCAAGGATTCATCTTCTTTGGTTCTTTCGGTAAAGTCACGTAGAATGAGAATAAAATAATAAAAAAACAATAAAATTCTCACGACGTTTCGGCCACAACACAAGTGGTCTTCTTCAGGTGAAAGGAACAAACCTGTCGGGACGACGTAGCTAAGGCCACTTGTGTTGTGGCCGAAACGTCGTGAGAATTTTATTGTTTTTTTATTATTTTATTCTCATTCTACGTGACTTTACCGAAAGAACCAAAGCAGACGAAGCCAGCTAAGATTTGTTTTACAAAAAGGTTATAACATTGATTGCTATGAAAATGGGTGCCATGGTGGTGAAATGTTAACCACCTCGCCTGGTATACAGGAAGCCGTGGATGCGATCCCGACCCTGACACCTGTTGTATATTTGGAGTTAGTATGTTCTCCCCGTGGTGGCGTGGATTTTTCTCAGGGTCCTCTGGTTTTTCCCTCGACATTTAGAAACATGCTTTGAGAGTATTTGGCTGCTATACATTTCCACATAACAAGCCACTTCGGTGAGCTATCATTTGTGGCCAGGTCGCTACTGAAAAATATCTAAAAAGCTCAGTGGGCCTTACTGAGTCAAATTACTTTTTGGTTCTTTCGGTAAAGCCACGTAGAAAAAAAATAAATTAAATAATAGAGTACGACGTTTCGAATGCAACTAAATTTAGTTATACCTGATGACGGTCGCTTGTGTTGCAATCGAAACGTCGTACTCTATTATTTAATTTATTTTCTCTTTCTACGTGACTCTACCGAAAGACCCAAAGAGTAATTCCTGCAGTCACGAAAGCTTCAAATCAAGTTTGAGTCAAATTAATATAGTTTTTTTTTTTAATAGCTTAATAATTATTGAGCAACACGTATCTGCAAATCAAGGGGTTTTAAAGCTTTGAATAGGTAAATAAACAAATAACATTTTAACTCTGAAGGAAATGCTTCCATGGGTGAAACTTAAAAAGAGGACATCTGAGACCGTGAGCAGAGAGAGCAGCTGCAGGCGCTTTGCGCAATCCCATTCCTCATGGCCCATCAGCCACGCCACGTTCACGAAGTCAGCACAGAGGAAGACGTGGTTAAGCGTGGCCTTGAAAATAAACTTGCTTATGTCACTGCTGGAAGAAGGGCCTCAACGAGAGGGAGCCATAGAGAGCCCCTATTCGAGGGTACTTTGCCTACTCTTCCGTGCTGGACAGACGTCTTGAAAGAGACGCCGCGGTGGCTAGGAGATGTTAACTACCTCGCCTGGTGTACAGGAGGTCGTTGCTTCAATCCCGACCCTGACGCCTGCTGCTGTATATTTGGAGTTTGCGTGTCTCTCTCATCATCATCATCATCACGGTGGCTATGAAATGTTAACTACCTCGCTTGGTATACAGGAGGTCGTGGCTTCAATCCCGACCCTGACGCCTGCTGCTGTATATTGGCAGTCTGCGTCTCTCTCTCTCTCTCAACGTGCATTTGGAGTATTTGGCTGCTATAAATGTCCACGTGATAAGCCACTACGTTGACCTATCGTTTGTGGCCAGTTCGCTTCTGAAAAAGACAAGTACGTACGCATGGAGGGGGGAGGGGGTGAAGCCTCGATAATAATTTGTCTACATTGGTCTCCAAATGCGTTAGATAGTTCGGCGGTGGACTATCTGTTTGCTTAAACACGTTAATATTATTATTAATCCTTGATCGTTTCTGCGTGGATTAAATATCGGCCGTTCTAAAGGATTCGGAGAGGGGGCGGGGGGGGGGGGTGCGCCAAGCGTACGTACGCTGGTGGAGGGGGGGTAAAAAGTACGCGTGCGTACAGGGAGAGGGGGGGGGTCAAGTTTGGACAGATTTTCCGTACCTACTAAATGGATGGTCCCTTACCTGGTAAAATATAAATTGTTTAGAGGTTGGTAGCACCCGCACTTTACACGACCTGCCACTCAACGAACTGCGGTGTACCCATTTATACTGCTGCGTGGACAGAGACGTGGTAAGAATTTAAGAGATTTACCCCATGGTTTAAACTGCTGAGGTTGGACAGGCGAACTCTGGTTCTACAGGTCAAGTGTGCGAACCATCACCCGACAACAGCGTCCCTTGTAAGCGGGACACGAGGAAGTCCACATACGCACAATATTCTTCAGCGCGTGGTATTCACATAGATCCTCTGATTAGCGTTTGACAAATCTGTTTTTCTTGGCAGTGGTGGTGCGGACCCCTTCGGGAGGCTCTACCTAGATTTTATTTTTTGGTGTCTGCCCTTACGTGCTGTTTTTTTTATGAACCCCTCGTCACACGACAGAATAGATGTAGGCAAGAGATGGAGATGTGGTGAGCTCAGAGGAGAGATACGGATGAGGGAGATGTACAGCGGTGACACATATGGAGTTAGATGAGAGTTGAGATTAGCGGCAAAATAACGATGAGAGATTTGATTGTTATGGTAATCATCTATGCATGTGTAGTATCTGGATTCGAATTCGAGCTGATATTTGGTTCACCCAATTGTTTTCCTTGAATGGCTTTGAGGCGCGAAACGTTTGCTTAGTTTGCATTTGTTGAGTGCAGCGTTCTTCACTAATTGCAGAGGAGGGCCACTTTCGCCGATAAGACATCATCAGCGTGAGGTGCTACCACACGTTTGAAACCATTGGGGGTTTGCCAGCAGTACGATGACGATGATGGTAATGGCTGGAAAGTGTTGTCACTTTGTGTTGATTGTCAGGGTGGGAGCGGTGGTGTAGCGGTCAGCGCTACACTGCGCTACGAACCTGGCGACCCGAGTTCGATTCCCGCTCACGGTCAACACCAGTGACGATTATCTGAACCGGTCCTGGGCCTCCCCTAGGTCGACTCAGCCTCAAATGAGTATCTGGTGCGGTATAAAAACATCGCCACTGGGGAGACAAAGGCGGTCGGGCGTGGTGCTGGCCACCCACCCCCTCGTGTACCGTTCCGGCCTGCATAGGTGCTCGCTAACACCACTTGTCCCTACAGTCTGTTACAGGCTATACGGGGGAGCTTTGTCTTTATTGTCGGGGTGCCACACGTCAGGGGCCGCGCTAAAGGCCACCAGGGGCCGTCAGTGACCCCGCGGGGCCTTGCAACCAAGAACGCCGCTCGAGCGTCACCTCTGTTTCTCACTTGATGGGCAAATGACCCGGTACCTGTGGCCAACGAAGTAATGTATCCTAATATAAACAATAAATGCACTTTATTGGGACATAGCTTTGAATGGTAAGCACACCTCTTGACGCGCAAAGTTCTGAGAGCTCCATATGATCATGGTAACAACGGCATTTTCAGTTTAAATAGTTCAACAGTTTAGTGAAGTTTACATTTTGGTGAGGGCGTATGTTTTTGGATAACCGCAAGCTAATATTTGACAGGAATTACAAAATACATTTGTAATGTTACTTGTGATAACAAAGAAACACAAGACAAACAAGTATATTTGTTTTTATATTTTATTGAAATCGGGTCAAAGCATCAGAGATTCATGGTTGAATGAATAAGAAATTGCATAATTCACAGACATCTAATATTCATGTAACAGGATCTTTAGAATTATAGCATTTACAATAGAATGTTGATCAGTTATTGTGGTGTTATCGATGTAGGGCACGATTACTGACTATAATGATAAACAAATTGCTGATTTGAATTACATGTACTGACATGAATCTAATTACAGAGTTTAGAGAAGAAATTGATTAATGGCCCTAACCAGGGAGTTAAGAGACAGAAAAGGGATAAAACAACCGTGCCGTTTGTTCAATAACTTTTTGGAAAATCTGTCCAACGTTTTAAAGTATCACCGGTAGTCATGATCTATCCACTGTTGGGCTAAGTCTCTTGCCGTGCCCTTGCCATGTCTAAGTTTTAGTTGCATCCCATCGAACCGTCCCCCCCCCCCCTCCTCCTTTGACTGCCGCTCTCTTCTTCGTTTTGAACCACCAGCCAAAGGACCTCCTTGCGTTACATTTCATCTCAATTATTCCAGCGGGGAGTGGCGTTTTTGTTGGTGTTGCCTCAGGGAAACCCCCTGATAGCAGTTCTCTCGCTCCCTCAGAGGTGCTATGTGTTTTTTTTTACCGATGTACAATTGATTTTAACACGTGCCTTTTGTGTGTTTTTTTTGTTTAGGTGAGAGGTGATGATGAAGAATAAAAACAGCACATGCATTGAACTGTACCCATTGTTATTATTGCATGCCTACTACATAATGTTCTCAAATAATTCAGATATGCAGTACTTTGGTGTGAGAGGTACAGTCATATAATAATAAAATAAATAAAACACTGAAAACTGAACTCTGCTTATTCTTACTTTTTTTCATATTTTATTATTACTGTATAGAACTCAGTTGCACAACTGGAGGGGGGGGGGGGGGATATTTTTAGCACTTATCAAAGGCAGTTTGACATAGTTCAGTGTGTGCCTAATTACGTTAAAAGATGTGCCACATTTATCACTCATTATTCAGGCGATTGGCTTCTCAAGGCTCACGCTGCCTTCGGGCAGTGCACAGCTCGCTTCTGGCACTTCCACTGAACAAGACAAAGATTTGTCCTATAGCTTGTGAGTTGACTGTTGGGGCAGGTGCACAGCACACGAGGGGGTGGGGGGGGGTTAACACCACGCCCCGCCGCCTTTGTCTCCCCAGTGGCGATGTTTACACATCACACCAGGTACTCGTTTGAGGCTGAGTCGACCTAGGGGGGGGGAGGGGTTCAGATAATCGTCACCGGTGTCGGCCGTGTACAGGAATTGAACTCGCAGCGCGCAGACCACTACACTACCGCTCCCCACAACAATGCAGTGCGGGGCAGGTATCCGCATTCAAATGTCCCAAATGTTTATTGCATCTGCAATCCTATTTGTGTTTCTGACCACGTATGCGTGTTGAACTTCTTTCGCACCGTACGTAGCCCACCGTGCTAATCGGAGGTACGGGGAAGGACAACAAACTAAACACAAAAAGCAGTTCTAAAGAAATTAGTTTTTTTTTGTATCTAGATTGAAAAGTGCACAGCTCTAGTCGCTTCCTAATATCGGAAGGAAGAGCGTTCCAGACGGCCGCAGAAGCGCATCTGAAAGCGCCACACGATGGGGCGACCGTCTTTGTTTGATGGCCAGCCTCGTAACAGAGACATACACATATGTTCGCCGTACTGAATGCGGTATGAGCAGTCTCATGCTGTGAGAGGCAGCGAGACGTGTGTGCATGGATACAGTGCCTCCTGAGTGGCATCGAGATGGGAACACCGTTTTAAGAAGGGGGAAAAAAAACAACACCTCTACATCGTAGGGAAATTACTGATAAAAATTTGTATGACGCTTCAAATGCCTCAGCAACTCAAAGCACCTCACATCTCTCTGCTGCAGTTTCGCCATGGGGCCCCCAGTGGCAGCAGGCCCTGTGCGGCACAAGGCAGAACCCTAGAGGGTCACAGGATTTCGTTGGGCAATTCCGAAAATAGTGCCTGAATGTCCTGTGACACCATTTCCAAGAGGAGGCCATTGTGCCTCTGATGTCGTGCCGCAAGTGATTTGTGCACTGCACTATCAAACCCCGGCCACCCGAGTTTGATTCCCAGCCACAGCTGATATCAGCAGTGAGTGATACATATTTTTTTCTTTCATCATTGCCAAGCACGGCTAAGATGAACGTCGAGTGATAACCGAACTGGTCTCGGTGTCCCGTTTCACCAAACCGCACTGACCTGCGTGGAAAAGTGTGTTCTTTAACCTCCATGAATAACACTGTGGGGAGCCCTCAAACAACACTGGCTTGACAGACACCTCCAAATTATTATTAAGATTTGAATGTCGACAGTTCCCCCCCTACCCTTAAGATTGAATTCATTTCAGTGGTTCTCTACCGACTTAACAATGCATCGTGCGTTACCAATGAATTAGCACAGCAAATTATTGACACAAACCCCAACGTGTGATTTCCAGCCGAGGAAATGCACCGTACATTTTGACGAGGTTCGGAAGGAACGTTTGTTCAAGTCATCTTGCAAATTCGCTTGCATGTGCTGTCCCTCTTCACCCCTTCCTCGTGACAGCGACACGTGTGACTTCGCTGGACTCCGTGAGTGACAGATGTCCCACGTGGCCCTCATTCAACATGTCAAGCTGTCATGCTCCATGTAAAGTCCTCTAATCGTGGAATGTTAAGTTTTAATGGCTGAAAGGAGATAAACAAAAATCTTGCAAGGTGTTAAAAGTAATCCACAATAATGTATGCACATTGGTATTATGTTTTTTTATTTACAGATACTGATTTTTTTAACAGATGCTTATTACAGATTCTGTTTTTAACTCTGTGCACGTCCTGTATACATCAAGCATGGTCTTCAAAATCTCACGTTCACATTTACGCTTTCCACTGGCTTGGATATGTTGAGAAACGCTGCACTCACAGACACTGTAACTCAATACTTAACTGTCAACATGTATTTTTATTCGGCTTCCCTTATTCATATGTGCACGATGAACAGCAAAAATTATACAGAGTGTTCTTCAATAGTTTCATTGTCATACAGCCCCATGCTGGCGACAAATACTTCACCCTGAATATAGTTCACGTTAAATCTGAAATCATAGCGACTACAAGGTCTCTCAGGGAGACTGTGACAGGTATGAGACAACACTGAATCGCACGCAATTAAGATTGTAAAAAAAAAACGCGATAACCCCTGCGATTCAAAACCTTTGCATTAACTGAACAATATCAGAGCACTCGTCCGAAGTCTATTTAAGCGAGAAAGCCACCTTAGAATGTAAACGCTGCCACCACGAAAACGTTGAGGACTTTATTTGCTTTGCACTCTGCGACATTGCCTGAGCCTCGAGCGCTGAGCCTGGCAGCAGCAGGTGCTAGTCACTTGCCTGTAATATATTGCGTAACAGATGATCAAATTACAGTTAAGAATGTCTTAAGCTTGTATACTGGCGGTTGCCGATGTAATTGCGGAGTCCTCTTAAATAAAATTAAGTAACGATATCGATACGTACTTTTCGCAGATTTTCTTCTTTCCACCTTTTCGGTTTTTTTAAAAAACAACTTTCATTAAAAAAAACGTTCCTTAAAAACGTGGCCAGGAATCGACACGCGCGCTATGCGTCGCCTCTTTTCGTGCGCGCACCACAGGCTACGAAATAAAGTTGTGAAAACACATCGGGGGGAAACAAAAGTTTACGAACGATTTCAGCCCGCCGAGACAAGGGAGCGTTGTCTCCTCCAAAGCCGCAGCAGCAAAGGCAGGAGCTGTAGGGGAGGAGGAGGAGGGGGGGGGGCAGCTTCTTTCTCATGACAGCCACGGAGTCGGGATGTCGCTGAATCAGAAAAGGGTCTATTTTTAAAAAAAGAAAAAGCTAAAGTGGATGCTAACGACCATTAAAGGCAACGGACCTTGCCACTTGTGGGCGTAACGGGTTGACAACGGGTGGCATCTATGTCAATCTCTCTCTCTCTCGTGCCCGCATGCAAATGAGGGCACGTGCGCGCGTGCTCGACGTTTGTGCTGTGTCTGGAGTAATGCACGACTATAAAATTGTTACCGCAGCGTCTCAGAGGGCACAGACCCTGGGGTGGCAGCGGGAGGTACGTGCTGTGGGTTGGCCCACCAGCGCCGTCTCTGTCTCTCTCTCTTTCTCCATGAACTTTTCGCAAGCAAATTGGTACATTTGCATAGCATCACACTTTGATGATAAAAAAACGATATTTCACGAAACGTATGTGGTAATTGCTATTTTTTCCCTTTAAGGCTCAGCTGCTGCTTTTACCTTCAAGTTATACAAAGAGGTGAGTTTTCCTATATTTTGCGTTTTTGAGTATTTTACGTTTTCACGTGAATGCACATATTACATGTAACAAAGAGCTTAGCTTAACAACAAAAATAATATTTTATTCTACGGTTCGAACACAACTGGACTACACATTTGATTTAGCTGCTCTTATTGCATCACATTGTAAAAGAAAATATTAAAACGCAACAGCAGCAAAGTACTGCATAACCATCCCACGGGCAAATTCAGATATATAATAACTATTTATTTTTTTCTACCTACGTGACTTTACCGAAAGAACCAAAGAGTATGGATTCCTGCAGTCACGAAAACTTCAAATCAGGATCAAATTAAATAGTTGAAATATAATGATAACTACATTTATATAACGATTTTCATTAATGATCTCAAAGCGCTGTATAGGGCACAGCAGCAGACACTCAGCATAAAAATAATGTTATAAAACATTGTAATAATCATTTACTAAATGAACTAAACGTTTAATAAGCGGAAGCATATAAATAGGTTTTAATGGGCATAATACAAATGTCCACAGACTCAGAGAGATCCCTCATATCTCGTGAAATAAGAGCGTTCCATAGCCTAGGGGCTACACGGGAAAAGGCCCGGTCACCCATAGACCGAAACCCCGACCTAGGAATGCAGAGAAGATCTGCATCTTCAGATCTTCGGGACCTTGAGGGGAGATATGGGTGCAACATGTCAATGATGTAGGCTGGGGCAAGATGATTCACTGCTTTGTAAGTTAACAATAGGATTTTAAACTTATTATATGGGAAACTGAAAGCCAGTGCAGTGAGGCCAAAACGGGTGTAAAATGATGTGAAGGTGTTCCGGTTAACACCGTAGCAGCTGCATGCTGCAAATTGATGAGCACCTTAGCCACGCCAGGGAGGAGTAAGACATTTACAATATGTCTATGCGAGATGAGATGAAAGCATGAACTCGCTTTTCTGCATCTGAGGCAGAGAGAAGGGATCGGATACGGGAGAAATTCCGAAGATGGAAAATGTCTTCCGATGTATCGTTAAGTCACAAGTGTGGATCAGAGTGGGGTATGACCTTTTTCACCCAAGTTTTGACATCTCGCCATGGCTAAAAAAAATAGGGCAAGTGATACCTGAACTGATCCTTGGATATATTGCCTTAATTTTTAGAATTTTGTTCTAAATCATGAATGCTCAGCACAGAAACAATGCTCGACAGCACAAAGCAAGCAGCAGTCAATAGGACAAATGATGGTAGAGCAGAACAAAACTTGCTTCTTAAAATTGAGCAATGCTTTAGGATGTGTTGTTGTTGTTGTAAAGACACAATGGGAGGAAGTTTCAACTCCAAAGACAACAAGAAAGTGAACTGTTGTTTCATGCAATACACTATAAGCAGTTAGAACGAGAGGCTGCAGCTGTAATAGTGTTTGATACGACTATTCATTTTTCATGAAAATAATATTCATCATTCATAAGCTGGGAAACCAACTTGATTATTTTTCATGGGAACAAAAAACGACACGTGATTGCTACACAGAAAGGATTATCATTACGTTGTAGGTCGCTTTCAAATTTGAGACACTAAGTAAAACACTGACATGAACGTTGCCTACTCCAGACAAGTATGTTTTAGAGTCTCTAACATACTTGAAATGTATACAACTTGAGTTCATATTTACATATCTTTGCGTGCCGGAAGATTTAGAGCTCATAATCTCAACGCCAAACTCGCTCCAATTTGCATGAAGTCCCCGCTTCCAACTGCTGGTCTATTCAGCCATCAAAACATTAATTTTAATTTACGTTGTGCAATGTTTTAGGCCATTATCTAATGTACACTGTGGAAAAAATGCAACCAAAGAACGTAAACCTAAAAAACGTATTAAGTGCTAAACGAAGACCACATTACTGTTGGTTGGCTGTTACCTGTAACATCAGACAATTAGCAGCATTCATCAGAGCGAACTCGCTCTGCTGGTGAGCCTCATAAAGTTCAAACTGGGTCCAGAGATTGCCTGCTCCGTGCTGAAACAACATTGCTTCAGAAGGCTCCTAGGTCCATAGACTAAAACACTTTTCATTCTATTTCAATGCGGAGAGCCAATACTTATTGCATATTTATTAAACGACGATCATAACCCACTTTTTTTTCTTTTGATAAACGTCTAATGCACATTTTATTTTGAAGATCATGCACACACCAGATGAAGATTATATGTATATATATACCATTCCTGCATGTGTTGTCCTTAGCACGCCTAGAAACCAGGCAAGATGGGAGACCTGCACGAGTTCGGGAAGGCCGCTCCCTTCCTGCGCAAGTCCGAGAAGGAGCGTCTGGAGGCCCAGACTCGCCCCTTCGACATGAAGAAGGAGTGCTACGTGGACGACCCGAAGGTCGAGTTCGTGAAGGCCACCATCAAGAGCAGCGAGGGTGGCAAAGTCACCGTCGAAACTGAAAAAGGCCAGGTATGCATTACGAAATGTGTTCTAAAGTTTTCAATGACCATTATTTCGAGAATACGATTATATATACACACATTATTTTATTTTTTATGTTACAATGTATAAACAACGAAAATAACAAAAAACTACGACATTTCGATCGCAACACACGCGTTCCTGATGACGATTGCTTGTGTTGCGATCGAAACGTCGTAGTTTTTTTCTATGAACCTAACTACGTGGCTTTACCGAAAGACCCAAAGAATATGAATTCCTGCAGTCACGAAAGCTGTAAGTCAATGTATAAACAAATCAGTGTAACGATCGTCCTGGATTAATTCGGATAAATTACTTCAACAGTGTGAAGTAAAATGTGTCTGACATGAGTTATTCTCTTCCCCGCAGACTGTGACAGTCAAGGAGGACCAAGTCCACCAGATGAATCCTCCCAAGTTCGACAAAATTGAGGACATGGCCATGTTGACCTTCTTGAACGAACCGTCTGTGCTGTTTAACCTGAAGGAAAGATACGCAGCCTGGATGATTTACGTAAGGAACGGCACTCCGTGTTTCATGCACAGTATTGTGTTGCTGCTTGTAGTATGGGTTGCCCCCTGTCCTGATGTTCCTAGGATTGTCCTCTTTTTGACAGTAGCCATCCTGGGAAATTTGCGACTCTTTAAACATTGTCAGCCATCCTGAGAAATCTGTGAAATCTGCGAATCTTTAAATATCTAGTTCTCCCCTCCACTGCTCTTGTGAGATATTCTTCTTCTGCTTCTTCTCACGATATTTCTGGGGGTTGTGCTTTGTTGTAATTGCTTGGGATGATCCAGCTCTGGAGCAACGACGCCGTGTGGGTGAGCGCCGCGTAACGTTGAGATTCGTGCTGTTTTGCAGACCTACTCCGGCCTCTTCTGTGTCACCGTCAACCCATACAAATGGCTGCCGGTGTACGACCCAATAGTTGTGGCTGGATACAGAGGGAAGAAGCGTCAGGAGGCTCCTCCACACATCTTCTCCATCTCTGATAACGCTTATCAGTTCATGTTGAGCGGTAAGCACATCGTTACTGCACTGTTTTTTTTTCAATCACAAATTAAACATTGTTTTGGCCAGACTATAATAAACATGTGTTTTTTTAAATTGTTGAATCGTACTGCTTTTGTTCATTGCATCTTCTTGTATGTTCTCCCCGTGCAGACAGAGAGAACCAGTCAATCTTGATCACGTGAGTGTAACTCATTCTCCATCACACAGTGTGGCTTAATTTTTCAGTATACATGCTAACGATAAGCAGCGAACATGACAACCTATTGACAACTGGAATGTAATTACCCTAGGTAAAAAAAAATAATTGTGATCATTTGCTCATTTGAACAAAATCTTTTGGACTATTTTCAACATTTACACTTCTCCTACTGTGGATATTGTAATTTGTAAACTTTGCAATGTCACAAAAAAAAATCTGTTAATGTCGAGAAAACCCATCACAACAGAAGAATTTGTGCTGCCCTGAATTTTATTTTTTAACGGCACACAAATGTTTACTGCCCTATGCCCTCTGCCCTCTGCGAGGCTAGCAGCGGCAGATGGCAGCAGTGAACATTTATGCCTTTACAGGGCTCGCACTTATGAGCCCTAACACTGATGATGCCGGTCTATAGTTGTCTATTTTACTTCTCATTGCTGCCTGTCGATTGCAAATATTTTTTTTCGGTCATTTATTGAAAGTAGGCTTCGACAAAATGACCACAATGTAGTTATCAACCGGTGGCTTTGCACGTTGCGTGAGGGTTTGTTATACATGAAACGCACACTTTTCTTGCGTTAAATGCATTTTTTTTAAAATATCAGTTACTCATCGTACTGCGTCAAACGGTGAGCGGGCATGGTGCGACTGTGAAATGTACCAATTGTTGTTGTTGTTGTTTTATGCCACAGCGGAGAATCTGGTGCAGGGAAGACTGTCAACACGAAGAGAGTCATCCAGTACTTCGCAACAATTGCGGCCCTGGGAGACTCTGCCAAGAAGAAGCAGGAGGGTAAAATTAAGGTATTGTTGCTGCAAATAGACACGTGGGTGCACGCTGCGTCTACATCGGCATGGGTGTAAAGCTCAATCCCCGGTAGCTTCAGTGTCAGCGAGCAGCATGGTGATGTCAGTGCCTTCTTAATATGCAGAGTTGAACACTTCTGGTCTTATTGACTCAAGATTGTAGCTTGTATTAAAATGTAACTATAATCTTACGACCCTTCGGATACGGGAGTTGTGTCGCTACGAAGTGCCACTTACACTGGAGACCGATTGGGTGGCGGAGTGGCACCGTGTTAACCACTTGCCTCACGACAAGCGGGGACTGGGTTAATATCCTAACTCAAGGTGCCTTTCTGTGTGCCGTTGGTTTATTCTACCCCTCTTCTGCATGGGTTTCCTCTGCCTTCCTCGGGCTTTCTCCCATAGTTAAATGAAGAGCATGCAGTGGAGCTGGTATTGCCCTAACATTCCGATGCTCCATAATCGAGGGTTTTTTTTTTGGGGGGGGGGGGGGGTGGTTAGATCGCGTAAATATAAATGTGTTGGTAAACCCGCCACCACCCGACACAGCCAATTAGTAAGGTTTAGTGTCACGTAAAAAAAAAACATGCCAATTAGTTACTAGATCAGCATGAGAATAAACATCCCAATGCTGAAGGATTATCAACAATTTACTCAATTGGGATTACACAGAGCAATATCGTCCCCTAGTGGGGATACTTGGCAGGACCCTTCTAAAAACAAGGATCTTGAGACTCAGTGAGGCATTTCTGGGTAAACAAGCAGAGTAATAATAGTAAAACTTTTGCAATAAAAATCAGGTGATAACCGTGAGAAAAATATAAACGTAACTATAAATTGGCCTTAATGCATACATGCACAAAATGTAACTTTCAACGTGTGTTAAGAATATCACAACTATTGTGTAAGCGAGCACAGTACATTATATACTGTATTACACGCTATGCACTGCTGATATATACGTAGTGGGTGGGTTTGCAAACAAAAAAACCCAAGTGCTTGACAAGTGTGAGTCACAAAAGATTCATGTTGTGGTGCTGTGTTGCCTCTCTAACAGGGGACCCTTGAGGATCAAATCGTCGAGGCCAACCCTCTGATGGAAGCTTTTGGTAACGCCAAGACCGTGAGAAATGACAACTCGTCGCGTTTCGTGAGTGTTCTCTCTATTTCATTTTCTTATTATTCCTTGCTTCATATCTGTGTATCAACTGCAAGCGAATGGCGGTTCATCAGTGTCTCAGCCAATGTCGTAATAATCGTAAAAAAATGTGTCTTCCAACTCTCCAGGGAAAATTCATCCGAATTCACTTTGGTGCCACTGGCAAGCTTGCCTCTGCAGATATTGAAACTTGTGAGTATTGAACACCGTTTTGCAAATACCTTGCTATGTGTTGGCATGGTACGAAAAAATGAACACGTGCAATGGGTATATTTTTTGTTTCTGATATTTCACATTCTAATATTTTACAGATCTGCTGGAGAAATCCCGTGTCACCTTCCAGCTCCCAACAGAGAGAAACTACCACATCTTCTTCCAAATCCTGTCTCAGCAGAAGCCTGAGCTCCTGGGTATGTTTCCCGTGACACGTCCTTCTCCACAGTCATGTTCTCTGCATTGTCGAAATGACTTTCACCCAGTTAGGTCAGAATGTCACGTAGTGAAACAAAAGCAAACTGAATACACGTGTGCTGAATCTGAATTCACGTGTGCTGAATCGTTACGACTTACATGACCATGATCCCCAGAAACGTAGGGTTAGAACCTTGTTGAGAACAATGAAATAAACAATCCTCGTCCATTAATTTTAATTCTAGAACCAGCCTAAAGTGCAAGTGAATGCGTGTGTCAAATATTCCTGACAAATCCACGCTTCATGTCGTGTTTCAATGCCTTAGGCTGATGCCCGTGTCTGTTTCCATGGATGTGACTATGCGTGGACAGATATGCTGCTGGTCACCACCAACCCTTACGACTACCCATTCATCAGCCAGGGTGAAATTACTGTCACCTCAATCGACGACAAAGAAGAACTGATGGCAACGGATGTGAGCACTGCAGTGTACAGCTAAAACATTTATTATGATGACGTTGATTTGTGGAAAACTAATTATTACTGGCCATTTTGATAGCTATATGCTCAGTGCCTCTTGGAAGAGTATTAGTAAGTAATGAGAGCAACAGATAGTTAGTGTACCTCAATTGAAATGGACATAGCTGTAATATAATTCAGTATCTTACGCACAATGTCATGCACGCAATTAACATAAACAATTCGAATTTACACGAATATTATAACCCCCGGGGTCCTTTGGACTTGTAGGGATACACTGATGATGTGAACTTTCCCTATTTAAGACCAAAAACAGGGATGCTTCTTCACGAATCTGGTTACACTCACCAGCAAAAGTTCTCAGATTTAAAATGTTGTGGTTTGCTCTCCAACATACCGTTCTGTTGAAACCTTAGTATTTTTTTTTTATAATGAATAAAACAATGTTTTAAGTGATAGTTACAGATGTCATATTGGGTGATGGCTTATCATTCATTAGGGATCAGCTCCCACTAATTAAAAACATTATGGAAAATAACCTCAATTTCGAAAACACTTCTGTTAATTACGAATATTATGCATATTATAAGCAAGTAATTAATAACATAAATATGATAAACTACACAGAAACCCCCATGGGCTTGCATGCTCCAGCAATGTATATATATTCACCCACTGTCTGCCACGGGGTCATGCTGGTTAAAATGATTGGCACTCAGCAATTTGCAGTTACAACGCATGTGCAATGGTATTTTATTTTCAATTTCAGAACGCCATCGAAATCCTGGGCTTCACCAACGATGAGAAAATGAGCATCTACAAGCTGACCGGCTCCATCATGCACTACGGCAACATGAAGTTCAAGCAGAAACAGCGGGAGGAGCAGGCGGAGCCCGACGGCTCAGAGGGTACGAAACGCGGACCCATCAGGGCGTCAGCAATGACGCCCCACCAAATGTTTGATGGCAAATGTCAATCTCAATCTCCAAACGACACCTTTCCAGTTGTATATTATCGTGTTGAACTTAAGGTGCAACGAGTGTAGTTAAAATGCCCATCTCCTTTGCGTTCCTTAGCGTTTGTTCGTTTCTCAGTCCTCTTGTCCTGGTGAGGGTCGCGGCAGCAGCGTGTTGAGTAGTGGCGGTCCACACCTCGCTTTCTCTGGCGACAGACTCCAGCACTACTACACTACTAGACACTACACTATACTCTACACTATACACTACACTATACACTACTATACACTACACTATACACTATTATACACTACACTATACACTACTATACACTATACTATACACTACACTATACACTCCTATACACTACACTATACACTACACTATACACTACTATACACTACACACTATTATACACTATACTATACACTACACGATACACTACTATACTCTACACTATACACTACACTATACACTACTATACACTACACTATACACTACTATACACTACACTATACACTACTATACACTACACTATACACTACTACACTTAACACTACTAAACTATACACTACTATACACTACACTACTATACACTACACTACTATAAACTACAATACTATACACTACTATACACTATACTATACACTACACTACTATACACTACACTACTATAAACTACACTACTATACACTACTATACACTAGACTATACACTAATATACACTACACTATACACTACTATACACTTCACTATACACTACTATACACTACTACACGTAACACTACTAAACTATACACTACTATACACGACACTACTATACACTACACTACTATAAACTACACTACTATACACTATACACTACTATACACTACACTATACACTACTATACACAGACTTTAGCTCTCCTTGGGGAATTCCCAGGCCAGTAACACCAGTTTTAGAGTTTAATACTTACAGTATTTTTTGTTAGTCTGCCAGCGTATGTGTGAGTCGAAAAGACGTGCAGCAGTGAGCATGTTTTATTCGCGTCACTGCTGTCAGAAAGGTATCCACTAGAGAGAGAGGGAGCTCGAGAGAGGGTATTTGGCCTACTCTTCCACGCTGGCCAGACGTCATGGTATAGGTGGGGAAGCACCCACACTTTACCCCACCAGCAAGAACTCCAAGATCGACAAACTGGGTGGACAGAAGTTTTCATCAACTTTGCCTCTTTGTTTCAAATGCCATGCCGGAAGATCGAATCGGATTTAACAGTCCAGCTTGTGCTGACCGGTACATCATAATACAAGTATGCATCTGCATTCACAGATGCGGACAAGGCTTGCTTCTTGATGGGAATCAACTCTGCTGATCTGCTCAAAGCCCTCTGCTTGCCAAGGGTCAAAGTCGGAAATGAGTATGTCACCAAAGGCCAGACCGTTCCACAGGTACTTTGATTACATTTGTGGGGGGGGGTTCCCCCTTTTTAAAGTTGCATTAAAATGTGTTTCTCCCATTGTTCGTTACGTATCATCGTAAATCATATTCCACCATCTGACATATTCTAAATTAAACTTTCTTACAGGTGTACAACAACATCGGTGCTCTTGCAAAGGCTTGCTTTGAGAGGCTTTTCTTGTGGATGGTTATCCGCATTAACCAGTCACTGGACACTAAGCAAGCCAGACAGCACTTCATTGGTGTCTTGGACATTGCTGGGTTTGAAATTTTCGATGTAAGTGCTTTTTTTCTTCCTCTTTACAATAATTGTATCAAAACAAATCTTTACATGCAATAGAGGCCACGTGTGGATTGGTCTCTGAGCTGCGAACCATACCTCCTTTGAGAACCATGTCTCCTCTGTCCTCTCAACACAGTTCAACACCTTCGAGCAGCTGTGCATCAACTTCACCAACGAGAAGCTGCAGCAGTTCTTCAACCACCACATGTTCGTGCTGGAGCAAGAGGAGTACAAGAAGGAGGGCATCGACTGGGTCTTCATCGACTTCGGCATGGACCTGCAGGCTTGCATCGACCTCATCGAGAAGGTTCGGGTTGCACAATATTCAGATTCCGTAAAGCACAGCTTGGCACTTATAGTGACAGTTTACAAACAAGTACGGCAATAACAACATCTAAAAATGATACAATTGTTTCCTTCCCTTTTTTTTTACTCACAGCCTCTGGGCATCATGTCCATCCTCGAGGAGCAGTGCATGTTCCCCAAAGCCAACGATCAGACCTTCAAGGAGAAGCTGTACGACCAGCACCTCGGCAAGAACAAATTCTTCCAGAAGCCCAAGCCTTCTAAGGGGAAACACGAGGCTCACTTCTCCCTCGGCCACTACGCCGGCAACGTGGACTACAACATCTCTGGCTGGCTGGAGAAGAACAAGGATCCACTGAACGACTCTGTGGTCCAAGTCTACCAGAAGGCCAGCCTCAAAGTGCTCGGCGCTCTCTTCGCCACCTTTGCCGGTGCTGATGCAGGTGAGCGGTCAACGTGGGGACCATCTTTGTGTGTACGTCATGAAATCTACGCAGTTTGTTATTATCCGCAATGCTGCAGTGGGTGTTTTAGTTAACTCCGTTACCTCCACCCCCTTCACCCTAACCTTGTGTGTTTATATCACGCAAATAGATTCCGGTGGGAAGAAGGGCAAGAAGAAGGGTTCTTCTTTCCAGACCGTGTCTGCGCTGCACAGGGTGAGTCACGCGAAGGGTGACGAATTGGATTTTGGTTCATCGAAATGATTCACGCGTGCATCAAATACATTTTAAAGTATTTTTTTCTTCCAATTACTATTGTCGAGACAATGCGCAGGCCCGCTACACCACGTTGTGGCGCACGCATAGGCGAAACCGGGTGTGAAGAGCCAGGGGATAGAGACATTGGGAGCAGACCCACTGCCCCAATATCCAATGCATATTTTGAAGAGCGACTTTGCGACATTAACGTGTTTTTTGTTTTAAATTGTTTGGTTATAGGAGAATCTGAGCAAGCTGATGGCCAACCTGAAGACAACTCACCCCCACTTTGTGCGCTGCCTGATCCCCAATGAGACCAAGACCCCCGGTTTGTTTTTCAATGCTCACACTGACAATTCCTACACGCAGCAATGCTTAAAATGCATTTTTTATCGGTATAATATTTAAAAATAATGACATCGTCTGCTTTGTAAAAGATCGTCCCGTAGTGATTGCCGTTGCTGGCTGTATTTTCCAAAAATTATGTTATAACTGACAAAATATTTACGAAAGAAACACTTCGTCATTAAAGTTGTAAACAAATACATATTTTCCATTAAATTAGCGCTATGTAATAGTTGTCTAGAGTAATGGTTGGTGGTTATAGGGCATCGTACATTTAATAGTTGATTACATTTTTTATTTTTTAAGCTGCAATGATAATAAGACATTGCAGGCTCACATTGAGTGGAACGCAGTTAAACAACTTTAAAGACATCCTTATTAACACTTGAAGAACAGAAAAGTACAAAATAAATGACAAATTACAGTTATTGTACTAAGCTATGAGAAACCTACATCGCAGTAACCATCAGACCGTGGCATTTTATAAAGTATATAATGGAAATTGATATTAGGGCAAACCTACTTATGACTATTTCTCAAATAACTATGACCCAGGAAAAAAAAAACGACGTGAAGTTTTTTTTTCTCGCTCAGTGGCCATCATTGTTCACCGTGATTTGCCCAGGTACCATGGACAACAACCTCGTGATGCACCAGCTGCGTTGTAACGGCGTGCTGGAGGGCATCAGGATCTGCAGGAAGGGCTTCCCCAACAGGATCGTCTACGGTGACTTCAAGCAGCGGTGAGTGCAGATAGACGTGTGACGTCGTTGTAAACTCGATCGCCGTAGCCTTTGGCGATACGTAGGTCACAAGACGTAAAGGCCCCTCTAGATATTGTCACCGTTATTGTCACTGGCAAACTACGATGGAGCTAAAGCCACGGCATACCTGAAGGAGAGGCTGCAATTAAGGTGAAACTGATAGAAGTCCACTCATATTCTCTATTCTAAACGGTCGCTTTTGCATACGATCTTAGCTCCTGAATGCCCAGCAATCTGTTATTTATTTCTCTCTATATATACACACGCCTCTTTTACACAAGCCCCCCACCCTCCACAAAATTGTCCTAACAGCATCTGTCATGAGACGAATAATCCTTCAGAAATATTCAAAAGCCGTGTGTGTGTCTGAGAATGCACGTGTGGAAGGTTGTCCTCTTTGTCCTCTTACCAATCGTGGTTGCAATTTCACCTCTGCCATGACAATTATTACCTCGCAACAATCAAACCGATGTTTTTATTTTATTTTCAGAGTTAAAATTTCGTCAAATTAAGTTCACCACCAAATGTAAAATGCTAGATAGCATCTTGACCTACAGCTTTCGTGACTGCAGGAATTCATGCTCTTTGGGTCTTTCGGTAAAGTCACGTAGATTGAAAAATTATCATTTTTTTCATTATTTTTCTATCTCGGTGACTTTACCGAAATATGCAAAGAGTATGATAGATAGCAGTCGTTAATGACAGGCTGCATCTCACTACACTTGAGAACCCCGTAAATCATGGCTGACTCACTCGATTAGAATCTGTAAGTTGTTGCTCTGCATCTACATCAGCCATACGGATTAGAAGCCAGGAGCCGAGCGCTACAACTACAACCTCCGAAACACCCGGTCACCTCCAGCAGTCTGTCGTTAAAGTCTATGCCGTGCAAACCGCGAGCGTTAGCGTCACACGTGACCCCGCTTGCTCTCTCGTGCCTCGTAGGTACCGCGTGCTGAACCCCAATGCCATGCCCGAGGGGCAGTTCGTTGACAGCAAGAAGGCCTGCGAGAAACTCATGGCCTCCCTGGAGCTCGATGAATCGCAGTACAAGTTCGGACACACCAAGGTAAACGTCGTCGTAGTAGTTGTCATCGTTGGTCCCACGTGTAACCAGCGGTGACTGAAGGCTCCCAAAGATATTGCCACCCCACATTCTCTCACGACGCAAACCGTGCATCTGGCTTCTGGTCGTGAGCCGACCCAATGAATCCATCTCCGCGGCGTTGCGTGTTTTATCCTCTCGTTTGTATTGATCGTTGATCATCATCGTCACCATCATCCCGTCAGGTGCCCAAGCACACTTCCTGTTCTTAACGGTTATCGTGTACCAAACTTGATTAATGTAATTAAACTAATGGAAAAGCTATGAGACTGCAAGAAATACCAAAACTGAAGGGATATCACAAGTACCCTAGTCCTGTGATGTCACCTTCCCAGAAGATGTTTCGTACCGTGCAGTTGTTGCACACTGCCTGGACGTTGGGAATGAAACTTTTCCTGATACTCATAACAGGACACCCATGAGCATTCGAAAAGGACAATTGAGAAACCTCATTTGGCCTTCCGCTTCATTCTGTCTCCCAGGTGTTCTTCCGCGCCGGTCTCCTGGGTACCCTGGAGGAGATGAGGGACGACCGCCTGTCTCTCCTGCTCACGCGCACCCAGGCCCTCGCTCGTGGCTACCTGAGCCGCGTCGAGTTCAAGAAGATGCTGGAGAGACGGTAAATACACACACACGCACACGCATCTCTTTCGATATTTGCACACCGTATAGACGCAGCGTAAAAACGAGTAATTTAGAGCTCCTTTTGTCAATCCACTGATCGATTAAAGATCTCCCACGCCGTGTAGGCCAGGAGGGACTGTTTGACCATACTTCGCCAACGCTGGCCAGTGCAGATGGAGAGGGGAGGGTGGCAGGACTGGTACAGACAGATACGACTCACCATTGGTGTTCGCTTGTGGCCAGGCATCGATCTCGGTTCTCTGAGTTCACAACGCAGTCTGCAAAGAAAGTGCACCGCTGCCTCCCGTACATGCTATGCTGAACATATGTAAATACTGTATGCTTCATTGTGTGCGTATATATTTTTACGATGTTTAGAATTTGTATACGGCGAACAATGATGATGCTTACAAATAGACTGTAGTCTCTAATGTCCACTGTAGACCTACACAGTGCAGTTTGGGAGATTGGTAGATCTTTGCAATAACCATTAGTTGGCTGCCGAAACGGAGTCATCAAACTCTGCGCAAACTTGCGAAGCAGCAAAATTATCACCATATCGGCGATCTGGCTGCCCGTGTAAAAGTATACACATTGAATATTCAGTTTTCTATGCGTCTGGAAATTGGGAAAAGCTTTTGCTTCGTGAATAACGATACATTTCTTTTTTTCCCTTCAGCGAGTCTCTGATCGTTATCCAGTACAACATCAGAGCCTTCATGGGTGTGAAGAACTGGCCGTGGATGAACCTGTACTTCAAGATCAAGCCTCTGCTCAAGTCTGCCGAATCCGAGAAGGAAATGGCGAACATGAAGGAGGAGTTCATCAAGACCAAGGAGGCCCTTGAGAAGTCAGAGGCCCGGCGTAAGGAGCTGGAGGAGAAGATGATCTCCGTTGTGCAGGAGAAAAATGACCTGCTCATGCAAGTCCAGAGTGTAAGTCTGTTCGCTGAACCCACATACCACAAACCATATCGATAAAAAAACAGATACATACTTAATTTTACCATTCATAAAAACCGCGTACTTACTTTGTTTTGTGCCTCTAAAAGGGGGAAGACTCCATAAACGACTCTGAAGAAAGATGTGACCAGCTGATCAAGGCCAAGATACAGCTGGAGAGCAAACTCAAAGAAATGCAGGAGCGCATTGAGGAGGAGGAAGAGATGAATTCGGAGCTGACGGCCAAGAAGAGGAAGCTTGAGGACGAGTGCTCCGAGCTCAAAAAGGACATCGATGACTTGGAGCTGACTCTGGCGAAGGTGGAAAAGGAGAAGCACGCGACTGAGAACAAGGTTTGTTCACCACGGTGCTGTACGACTCGCACCGTATTTAAATGTTGACAATAAGGAATTGCACCGCTAACATGCCCGTATCACATCTCACCTCAACCCACTGCAGTGTCCTGCTGGGGTCTAGCCGAGGGGACCCGCAGCGGGAGCTGTGCCCGTGCCGTACAAGATGAATGCAGCAATGCAAATGGGCATTAATCTGCCAGTAGGGAGATAATACGTCGATGTTTCCCCCCAATAAAATAATGTATGGGGACAATTGATGAAATTTGCACCATTAAGCTGGCAACACACGGCCGACTCTTTTTCTGGATAATCACTGGATCTTCAACATCCACCATGAAGTGGTGGAAGTCTACAGATATAAGAGCCACAGTCATCACCAGGGTGGCCCGTTGTGCCCAAACTAGGAACCTCTCTGAAATAAGCGATAAACGCGCGTCCGCTTAGCCACAATCACGTGTTCGGCGCTTCTTGCTTTATTAACTCAGCTTAATTTTTTTCTCCTTTCCAGGTGAAAAACCTGACCGAGGAGATGGCCGTGCTGGACGAGAACGTATCCAAGCTGACGAAGGAGAAGAAGGCCCTGCAGGAGGCTCACCAGCAGACGCTGGACGACCTCCAGGCGGAGGAGGACAAAGTCAACTCCCTCACCAAGGCCAAGGCTAAGCTTGAGCAGCAAGTGGACGATGTAAGTCATTTGGTGGAGAATGGAAGAGCTGCGGCGTGCATTAAAACTTGAACAATAATTGCAAGTGGCAGAAACCCGCTGCTCTCGTATCTGGAATTCCCTCCGACTTTCCCACCACTTCGGCCGATTCTCCCTTTTGTTCTCTTGCAGTCTTTAAAGTACTTTCTCTCGCCACGAAGTGCCTCCATTCACACCTTTACCATGCTGTCATTTCAAATCAGTCTTTTTCCTGTAGTATTCCACCTGTAGTATTACTTTCCCCCGAAAGAAAACATCCTTTAAACGATTTATAAATTAAATTTGTGGTCTTTTATACAGCACCTACATTTGGCCATTGAGTTTTTCAGTCAATGTATATTTTAACACGGATATGTTTTACTTCTTTAAATGCATCTTGCGAAATTGGTCGTGCGTGTGTCTCATCTTGGGTTGTTGTTGTTTTGTGTGCGTTTGACACTTTGCGCAGTTGGAAGGATCATTGGAGCAGGAGAAGAAAGTGCGCATGGACATTGAGAGGGCGAAGAGAAAGCTTGAGGGCGACTTTAAGATGGCCCAGGAGTCCATCATGGATTTGGAGAATGACAAGCAGCAGATTGACGAGAAAACAAAGAAGTATGTGCTCTGCAATTTCACGACGCAAATTTTATATCGCATCAGAGCAAGCCGTCGCGCAACACGTGTTTGTATTTGTGTGCAGGTAACACATTTTTTTTGCGCGTTCATTTTTCAGGAAGGACTTTGAAATTAGCCAGCTGAACAGCAAGATTGAGGATGAGCTTGCCCTATCCGCTCAACTGCAGAAGAAAATCAAGGAACTCCAGGTGAAGTTCGCTAATGTCCACACGCCGCACGTAAAAAAAAACTCTCTGAACTTTAAAATGAATTCACGAGACCAAAAAAGATTCCTGACACAAAAGCTTTGCGTTTTGATGCCAACCGCAGGCGCGCATCGAGGAGCTGGAGGAGGAGATCGAGGCCGAGCGTGCCGCTCGCGCCAAGGTGGAGAAGCAGAGGTCCGACCTCTCTCGGGAGCTCGAAGAGATCAGCGAGAGGCTGGAGGAGGCCGGCGGAGCCACCTCGGCTCAGATCGAGATGAACAAGAAGAGGGAGGCCGAGTTCCAGAAGCTCAGGAGGGACCTGGAGGAGGCCACCCTGCAGCACGAAGCCACGGCCGCCGCCTTGAGGAAGAAGCAGGCCGACTCCGTGGCCGAGCTCGGGGAGCAGATTGACAACCTGCAGCGGGTGAAGCAGAAGCTGGAGAAGGAGAAGAGCGAGTTCAAGATGGAAGTCGACGACCTCAGCAGCAACATGGAGCAGATCACAAAGTCCAAGGTACTTAAAATCACTTTGGACATGATTGGGCAAGCAATTTAATTAAACCAGTTTACCTCATCAATTGTTGAAAACGCTGACCTCATACATTGTTTTCAAATGATAGACAAATATGCACCGAACATATGATCACAACCCACTTCTGAAGAGACACCAACTCGCTCACTGACACACTTTAGTTCTCCTTAGCTACCACACGCACAGAAGAATACAAACCCTGTAAACTTCGTTGCAAGCTCAACTCTGCTTGCTGCCTTAACCTTTGCACACTTCTAAAATGAGCTACCTTATTTCTTAAAAAATAATTTTCCTTTAGTTTTAAACACGTGTGTACACCGTACACTGAAAAGCGACGCTCTGGGGGGTTTTTTGTTGTTGTTGTTGTTGCGTGCAGGTGAATCTTGAGAAACTGTCCCGGTCACTGGAGGATCAGCTCTCCGAACTCAAAACCAAGGACGAAGAAAACATCCGCACCATCAATGACATCACAGCCCAACGCGCAAGGCTCCAGGCTGAATCTGGCAAGTGCTCTGCAGCAGCGGTTGTTCACGGGTGCTCAGTGAAAGCAGCCTTAACGTTGTGTTGTCATTGGGGACTGCGGTTGAACTGCCACGTCAAATGATCACGTCCGTGCGTGTGTCGCTCCCTTCGGTAATGCAACAGGTGAGTTGACGAGGAAGCTCGAGGAGAAGGAGGTTCTGGTCGTTCAGCTCTCGAGAGGGAAGCAGTCCTACACCCAGCAAGTCGAGGACTTGAAGAGGCAGCTTGAAGAAGAAGTCAAGGTATTTTTACCGGCGTATCTCCTCAAAGGGACCTCCTCATTCGTATATTTTACAATACGGTATATTTCAATGCAGTGCGTATTTGCCCGGTGATACGGACACTGCTAAATATCTCAAAATGACGCCGTAGCTTACACCGATATGATCGACGCGGTAAGAGACGAGCACTGGCGTTGACCCGGACAACGCTGCAGTCGCGTTGCCATTGCTGCCCTACGGAGCGAGCTCACGAGCGGCGTCTCTGTGACCGTGCAGGCCAAGAACGCCCTGGCCCACGCCGTGCAGTCGGCGAGGCACGACTGCGACCTCCTCCGCGAGCAGTTCGACGAGGAGCAGGAGGCCAAGGGCGAGTTGCAGAGGGCCATGTCCAAGGCCAACGCCGAGGTGGCCCAGTGGAGGACCAAGTACGAGACCGACGCCATCCAGAGGACCGAGGAGCTGGAGGATGCCAAGTGAGACCTGCGATGAGTTCTTACGTTAAGAGGGTGATGCAGTTCTTCACGAACTGTTGGTGTTTGTTTTTCTTTCTCCATATTGCACAAGGCCAAGTGTTTTATGTACACATGTCTGCGTGTTGCATGAAACTATTATCTTCACTAAACGCTTCCTGTAGCCCTTGCACAATGAGCATTAAAATGAGAGGCGATTTCGATCGGAGGTCTAGGCACTAAACGTGTCTCTGCCTTTCAACGCCTTGCAGGAAGAAGCTGGCCGCCCGTCTCCAGGAGGCGGAGGAGCAGGTCGAGGCGGCAAACTCCAAGTGCGCCTCCCTCGAGAAGACCAAGCAGCGTCTGCAGGGTGAGGTGGAGGACCTCATGATCGACGTGGAGAGGGCCCACTCAGCTGCCGCTGCTCTTGACAAGAAGCAGAAGGCCTTCGACAAGGTACTTTGAATGCACCGCAGCTCAACGTCATTGCACACCTTTGTTGCGAACATTTATTGCGACGCATTGTGTGTATCGTAAAAAACAATAACAACAACAACTTTTGTAACCTCTTGACCAGGTTCTGTCAGAATGGAAGCAGAAGTTTGAAGAAAGCCAGGCTGAGCTGGAAGCTGCACAGAAGGAGTCCAGATCCCTGGGCACAGAGCTGTTCAAGCTCAAGAATGCTTACGAAGAGACACTGGATCATCTGGAAACGTTCAAGAGAGAGAACAAGAACCTCCAGGGTACGTTTAATATATTTACTCAAACGTTACTTGTACGTTAATTATCATTTAACCTTGCCTATTTAACTTTCCATCCGTGCAAAATAGCATTTTCGAATAATCTATTGTGAAACAGGCAGACAGTTTTAAGAAAGTTTTGGTTAAATGCAATTGAATGTCTTCAATTCAAGGGACATTGCATAACCTTAATAAAGCAGGCCTATTTCAATGTGAATTGTAATAATATTCGAGCTGTGTTTAACGCAATGGTCCCATGCTATGTTTATTTCAACAGAGGAAATTTCAGACCTCACCGAACAACTTGGTGAGAGTAGCAAGAGCCTGCACGAGCTTGAGAAGAACAGGAAGGCCATTGAACAGGAAAAGAGCGATATCCAGGCTGCCCTCGAAGAGGCTGAGGTAAAGCAATGCAGCCATGGAAACAAAATGGATCAAGCATTAAACTAAAATGTCTACAAATTATTTCCCAGTTTGTAAAATGCACACTTTTTTTTGCAAACCTCACATGTTTCACGTTTGCAAAGCGAACTAATTTTTCAATGGAACTCCATTGCGGATGTACAGGCTTCTCTGGAGCACGAGGAAGGCAAGATTCTCCGGGTGCAGCTCGAGTTGAACCAGGTGAAGGCAGAGGTCGACCGCAAGATCGCCGAGAAGGACGAGGAAATCGACCAGATCAAGAGGGGCTTCCAGAGAACCGTGGAGTCCATGCAGGCGACGTTGGACTCCGAGACCAAGAGCAGGAACGAGGCGCTCAGGCTGAAGAAGAAGATGGAGGGAGACCTCAACGAGATGGAAATCCAGCTCAACCACGCCAACAGGCAGGCGGCCGAGTCTCAGAAGCACCTGCGCAACGTGCAGGGACAGATCAAGGTAAATATGAGTCACACATCTTCACAACCGATCATCCTAAATGTGAAATGTAGTATTTCATTTCTTTCATACATCACTGGTAAACTATTAACTTCCAATAGTGAACGCGTTATAAAATGCCGTTCGTTATTATTCGTCTTCATCGGAACGTAATTGCCGCCGCTTTGAATTTTCAGGACCTCCAAGTTCATTTGGACGATGCCCTCCGCGCAAACGAAGACTACAAGGAACAGGCTGCCATGCTTGAACGCCGCAACAACCTCCTGGTGGCCGAAGTCGATGAGATGCGATCGGCTCTGGAGCAGACAGAGAAGGCCCGCAAGTTGGCCGAGCAGGAATTGCTGGGAGCCACCGAGAGAGTGCAGCTTCTGCATTCTCAGGTGACAGAGACAACAAAAACGGAAGCAAAAAAAGCCCACCTAAAAAAATGTCAATAATAATTCTGAAATTGCACTGCAATGTAAACACGATGAAAACTGTTTCTGATGAAAATGTATTCAACTTTCTTTTAAAGAACACGAGCCTGATCAACACCAAGAGGAAGTTGGAAGGCGATCTTTCTCAACTCCAGTCAGAAGTGGAAGAAAGTATTCAGGAATCGAGGAATGCTGATGAGAAGGCCAAGAAGGCCATTACCGATGTGAGCACATATACAATGTTACATCCTCCGCGCGATAATTCCCATTGTGCGTTTACGTTTGACGCGGTCGTAATTTTACGAGCTGAGCCGTAATTGTCGTCCATTTGGCCAGGCCGCAATGATGGCAGAGGAGCTGAAGAAGGAGCAGGACACGAGCGCCCATCTCGAGAGGATGAAGAAGAACATGGAGCAGACGGTGAAGGATCTGCAGCACAGGCTGGACGAGGCCGAGCAGATCGCGATGAAGGGCGGCAAGAAGCAGCTGCAGAAGCTCGAGACCAGGGTAAGAGCACGGATTGAACGTGACATTTGGAAACTAGGAGTGTTAGTTAAATTAAGGGGTGCCGTAGTGGCGATATGTTAAATTCCTCACCCGTGTATGCAGGAGGTTGTAGGTTCAATCCCAACCCTGGCACCTGTATACTTGGAGTTTGCGTTTCTCTCTCCCCGTGGTCGTGTGGATTTTTCTCCAGGTCCTCCGGTTTTTCCATCCACAGAGTATTTGACTGCTGGAAATTCCACATAATGAGCCACTTCATTAGGCTATCATTTCTGGCCAGGTCACGTCTGAAAAAGAGCTATATAGCTCAGTGAGCCTTACCTGCTAAAATAAAACTAGTTTCGTTTCGTTTACGTATTATTTTTTCTATACTTAAATTTTACTCATAGGTTAGTGTACAAATATTACATATTTCAAGCGTTGTCACTGTTGGGTTTTTCCCTCGTTTTGTCTATTACCGCAGTGTATAGCGTGCACACCTTTGGCTAAGCGTTTTTTGTGTTTTTTTAAAGGTGCGCGAGTTGGAATCGGAGCTGGATGCTGAACAGAGGCGCACAGCTGAGACCATCAAGGGATCTCGCAAATACGAGCGCAGGATCAAGGAGCTGTCTTACCAGGTAAAAACTTGCACTTCTTTATCTTCACTCTTTATCTGTACTGCAAAAACAACGTGTTCATTGCCGTGAAGTATTGCATTCTATGAGATACTTTGTACATATTAAAATTAGATTTTTTTTATTTTCATATGTACACACGTCAATAGGAGTATGCTACCGATTTACACATTTTAAAACATTGACTTCATTGGTGCATTTAATTGTGGTGAGATGAGTGTGTCACCTGCACTGAAGGCAATGCAGATTTCTGACCTGTGACACTTCATCTCACAGACCGAGGAAGACAGGAAGAACAACCTGCGACTCCAGGATCTGGTCGACAAGCTGCAGCTCAAAGTGAAGGCTTACAAGAGGCAGTCGGAGGAAGCGGTAAGATCTTATCTGCATCTTTTCCATATAAGATGGTAACTAATTAATCTATCGATTTACCATCGTTCTCCCTTGTTTGCGCATCCCATTGTAATGCAGAGAAACATCACGAATCAAAGTCTGTTATCGTATCCAAGACCAATGGGAAAACCCATTATTTAGTTTAGTTTTACTTTCGTTTATATGCACGATGCACTTAGTTATACTTATATATAATGTATATGAAAATTGGTTTTAAAAGTACTGTATTTGAAAGTCAATAAGAATCCAGATGAACTTAAAAAATAATGCATAGGCCAAAGCAAAACATCCAGTACTATGTACAACAAAAATTAAGCAACAGTGGTTTTCGTCCGTATTCGGAAACCTTAGCTATAAAAGCAAGTATAATACTGTAATGGAAAATTCATATTTGGGTCACATTTGTAAAAGAAAATTCATCCATCTTCACCGCAGCGCAGGTATTCGCCGTTGTTTTGTACAGCTCTCCGACGTGTACTCGAGTTACAGCGTGTCTGGTTTGGCACGATGTCCGATGTTTTTCTCCCCGTGCCTCGGAGGAAGAACGTCGGACATCATCCCCGAACAACGTGCAGCACCACCTGAAAATGCACGCGTTAATGCTGCGCACCTTAACCAATGCAAACCTTCACACTTTTATTTGCCGCTTGAAAAATCCCACAGGAGGAGCAGGCCAACACAAACCTCTCCAAGTACCGCAAGCTGCAGCACGAGCTGGAGGAGGCCGACGAGCGTGCGGACATCGCCGAGTCTCAGGTCAACAAGCTGCGCGCTCGCTCCCGGGATAGCGGTGTTGCCAAGGTACGCTTGCCATTCCACAATTCCAGTGAGGATCTCCGGTGAACACGAGCGGCTGCTTGGACGTTGTGACTCAATGCTTGTCAGGTCGCTTAGCTCAGCACTACGTGCTGCCTGGGTTTTAATGTAGGCATCCACAAGCTATTAAATCACATTCTCAGGTCTAAAGGTAGTTTCACATAAAAATCCATCACTCTGGACAGTACGGTATTGCCGAACACATGTCTAAGTCTACTTCGATTTGTGTGTTCAAGCACAACTTTGTGTCTGCCGTTCAAGATTGATGGGATAGGCACATGATCTATGAGAGTTACTCATGAACTGCAATGGTATTTGTTAAGCATTGCTCTTTCTAAATATCAATAACAGCACTTAACTTTGAAAGTCACGTTAAAAGCTGCTGATACTGCACCGTTTAGACATTTTTGCAATGTGCTAATGAGCTTTTTTTGTTTTTGTTACAGGCTGGAGAATCAGAATAATTCTGAAACCCTTTGCACACAAGCAATGCAACTCAAGTACAGCACAGTAATTAAGTTACTGCAAATGACTTGATGTAGGAACTATCAATAAAATGGTTTCAAAGTCAACCTTTCTCTGGAGTTTTATTTTCAACGTATACACAACTCACGTGTGTAATCACCATAAGCAGTCGTGTGTCATGCTCATAACCAGGCAGTGCCGGATTATCCTCGTAGCAAAAGTAGCTACACATGTAGCAGCTACGGGCTACGCACGTTCAAGGGTCCGGCACTAAATCCTTTCAAGTTATCAATTCCGGTTCAGTGATTCTGCACTTGCTCTATCACTATAGTACTATACTGCCTTCAACTTTTATGAACGACTGGATGTTTAAGGTTAGCGATTTGTGGTATTATCTCGCTTATAGCAAATATGAAAAAAATACAATTGCTTGACTATGCAAGTAAAACAAATTGTGTTTGAACATTTTACGTTTTTTTTAAATCTAGAGCCCCTTTATAACATATGCTACAGGCCCCACACCAACTTAATCCGGCGCGGTAACAAGGGGGTCGGAAGTGTGTCTGTCAAGAAACTGTCGACCGCTCACTGTGTTCTGCGTCTACTTAAGCCCACGGGCGATTACAGGTGAATTTCTCACCGGTGACAGCTTGTCAGAAAACAGACCTCTTCCATGCACGAAATCTTTTAGTCACGGGCCTCTCTCGGCTTTCCCACCACCAATATCCAACAGCATTGTTAAGTAAGCAAGCTGTGGACTGGCCTCGACTTTCTGGGTCTCATCAGCAGTTGTGATGACACACGCCTTGCTGCAGTCAATGAAAGGCGACTGATGGTTTCCAACTTTGTAATGCATGCCATGTTAGCAGCAGCATGCAATCAATCTCAATATTACAACAACAAAACACACACTTTGTTGAAGGTCATATTGTAACATTTATTTCCCTGCGAAAACATAGACTATATCAGGGCAAATCGTAAGATTCTGAGTGGACAAACTCAAAAGTCATGTAATAGGCATTGTGGCCAGTAGATGGCAGTGCAATAAAGTCCATACTACAGGGTGGACCAGATGTCTTGTGACCCACATTTAATTGAAAAAAAACTTGATATATTCATATTCTTGGTTCTTTCGGTAAAGTCACGTAGAAGAGAAACAATAAAAATATATAAAACTTGATATACATTTCGAAAAGTAGGGTTTATTTAAAACAGAAACGAACATGCAAAGTTGGGGGGAAAAAATGTCAAGGGTCAATCATTTTGGTGGTCACAAGACATCTGGACCACCCTTTACATCTCTCACCCCCACACATACACGACCACCAACCCGCACTAATCAGCGTGCGGTGAAGTATGGTCAAATATATCCACCCTCAGGGTGAAACGCAATGCGTGGGGGACGTAGCACGCTCCGCCCCCCCTAAATCCACCACGTTGACTGACAAAACAGATTGTGTCCAAGGAACATACACACTGTCAAATCCATTCTACAGGCTGGTCCAGATGTCTTGTGATCCGCCATTTAATTTTCTGAAACTTCCTACATTTCTAAAAGTATGGTTTACTTAAAAACAGAAACGAACATGCAAAGACGATTTAAAAAAATGTTCGGGCTCAATCATTTCGGGAGTCACATCTGGACCACCCTGCACATCTCCAAACAAAAAGACAAAGATCCCCCGTATAGACTTAACAGACTGCAGGGGCAAGTGCTGTTAGCGAGCACCTCCACACACAGAACCTTCAGCAACACGCACTGACCCAGCGTGCCGTGAAGTATGGTCAACTCCACCAGGTGGACTGACAAAGCAGCTTCGTAGTAGTACAAGGACGTCGACATTTGAGATTTGCCAAATACAATCGCTCGCTAAGAGGTTATACATGAAACAATATATAGTTTTAATCATCTTTGTGGCAGTGTTAAATCTCGCCCAGCTGAAGCGTCGCAAGTCGGAGAGGTCCTCGCGTTCGACCCCCCCCCCCCCCCCAGTGCCGCTCAGTCAACGCGTGGTGGTTGGTGGTGGTGGTTGGTGGTGGTTGGTGGTTGTGGTGGTTGGTGGTGGTGGTTGTGGTGGTTGGTGTTGGTGGTTGTGGTGGTTGGTGTTGGTGGTTGTGGTGGTTGTGGTGGTGGTTGGTGGTGGTTGTGGTGGTTGGTGGTGGTTGTGGTGGTTGTGGTTGGTGGTTGGTGGTGGTTGTGGTGGTTGGTGGTGGTGGTTGTGGTGGTTGGTGGTGGTTGTGGTGGTGGTTGGTGGTGGTTGTGGTGGTTGGTGGTGGTTGTGGTGGTTGTGGTGGTGGTTGGTGGTGGTTGTGGTGGTTGTGGTGGTTGGTGGTGGTGGTTGTGGTGGTGGTTGGTGGTGGTGGTTGTGGTTGTGGTGGTTGTGGTGGTTGGTGGTTGTGGTGGTTGGTGGTGGTGGTTGTGGTTGGTGGTGGTTGGTGGTGGTTGTGGTGGTTGGTGGTGGTTGTGGTGGTTGGTGGTGGTTGTGGTTGGTGGTGGTGGTTGTGGTGGTTGGTGGTGGTGGTTGTGGTGGTTGGTGGTGGTGGTTGTGGTTGGTGGTGGTTGTGGTGGTTGGTGGTTGTGGTGGTTGGTGGTGGTGGTTGTGGTGGTGGTTGTGGTGGTTGGTGGTGGTTGGTGGTTGGTGGTGGTGGTTGGTTGGTGGTGGTGGTTGTGGTGGTTGGTGGTGGTGGTTGTGGTTGGTGGTGGTTGTGGTGGTTGGTGGTTGTGGTGGTTGGTGGTGGTGGTTGTGGTGGTGGTTGTGGTGGTTGGTGGTGGTTGGTGGTTGGTGGTGGTGGTTGGTTGGTGGTGGTGGTTGTGGTGGTTGGTGGTGGTGGTTGGTGGTGGTGTGTGTAGTGGGGGGGGGGCAGTCAGCAGCAGCAGCAGCCACGTCGGTGCAGTCAGTCGGTGGTGCCATCACCACTTGTCACACGCAGGGGATACATGACACGGGACGACACGAATGATCACGCAGAGGCGGTGAAGTGCTCATGCAAACAGGAGGCTAGGTGGAGTTAAACACCGCGCATCGCACGTTGATCGCACAAATAACAACAACACGTGCACTCGTTATAGACAGTGATCATCACACACGTACAGCATCGCTGGTCACAACAGTGGTCGTCAAATTAGTCACGGCGGTCATCATCACATCACACACACTGATCACACACACACACTGATCACACAGTGATCACACACACACAGTGATCACACACACAGTGATCACACTACACACACTGATCACACACTACACACAGTACACACACACATTACACACAGTGATCACACTACACACACTGATCACACACTACACACACTGATCACACACACTGATCACACACTACACACACTACACACAGTGATCACACACTACACACACTGATCACACACTACACACACTACACACAGTGATCACACACTACACACACACACTACACACAGTGATCTCACACACACACTGATCACACAGTGATCACACACTACACACAGTGATCACACTACACACACTGATCTTTCAGTACACACAGTACACACACACAGTACACACAGTGATCACACTACACACACTGATCACACACTACACACACTGATCACACAGTGATCACACACACACACTGATCACACACTACACACAGTGATCACACACTACACACAGTGATCACACACTACACACACTACACACACACTACACACAGTGATCACACACACACACTGATCACACAGTGATCACACACAGTGATCATACACAGTGGTCACACTACACACACTGATTACTCATTGTTTTTTTCGGTAAAGTCACGATAAATAATTTATGTAGTCACGAAAGCTTTAATTCTTTATTTACACACACTGATCACACAGTACACACAGTACACACACACAGTACACACACAGTGATCACACTACACACACTGATCACACAGTGATCACACAGTACACACACAGTGATCACACTACACACACAGTACACACAGTGATCACACAGTACACACACAGTGATCACACTACACACACTGATCACACAGTACACACACAGTGATCACACTACACACACAGTACACACAGTGATCACACTACACACACTGATCACACAGTACACACACAGTGATCACACTTCACACAGTGCACACAGTGATCACACTACACACACAGTGATCACACTACACACAGTACACACAGTGATCACACTACACGCACACAGTGATCACACTACACAGTACATACACTACACGCACAGTACACACACAGTTATCACACTACACACAGTGATCACACATATTACACACTACACACACAGTACACTACACACACAGTGATCACACTACACACAGTACACACACAGTACACTACACACACAGTACACACACTACACACACAGTACACACACAGTGATCACACACAGTACACACACTACACACACAGTACACTACACACACAGTACACACACAGTACACACAGTGATCACACTACACACAGTACACTACACACACAGTACACACACACACAGTACACACACACACTACACACACACACTACACACACACCACACACACACACTACACACACACAGTACACACACACACCACACACACACACACTACACACACACACTACACACACAGTACACACACAGTACACACACACACTACACACACACACTACACACACACACTACACACACTACACACACACACTACACACACACACTACACACACACACTACACACACACACTACACAAACACACTACACACACACTACACACACACACAGTACACACACACTACACACACACACTACACACACACACTACACACAGACACACACACACCACACACACACTACACACACACTACACACACACACACTACACACACACACACTACACACACACACACTACACACACACACTACACACACACACTATACACACACTACACACACACACTACACACACTACACACACACACTACACATACACACTACACACACACACTACACACACACACTACACACACACACTACACACACACACTGCACACACACACTGCACACACACACTACACACACACACCACACACACACTACACACACACACTACACACACACACTACACACACTACACTACACACACACACTACACACACACACTACACACACACTACACACTACACACACACTACACACACACACTACACACACACACTACACACACACAGTACACACACAGTACACACACACTACACACACACACTACACACACACACTACACACACACACAGTACACACACACTACACACACACACTACACACACACTACACACACACACTACACACACACTACACACACACACTACACACACTACACACACACACTACACACACACACTACACACACACACCACACACACACACTACACACACACACTACACACACACTACACACACACACAGTACACACACACTACACACACACACTACACACACACACTACACACACACACTACACACACACACAGTACACACACACTACACACACACACACACTACACACACACACTACACACACACACCACACACACACTACACACACACACTGCACACACACACTGCACACACACACTACACACACACACTACACACACACACTACACACACACACTACACACACTACACTACACACACACTACACAAACACACTACACACACTACACACACTACACACACACAGTACACACACAGTACACACACTACACACACACACACTACACACACACACTACACACACTACACTACACACACTACACTACACACACACACTACACACACACACTACACACACACTACACACACACACTACACACACACAGTACACACACACTACACACACACACTACACACACTACACACACACACTACACACACACACTACACACACACTCTACACACACACACTACACACACACACTACACACACACACTACACACACACACTGCACACACACACTGCACACACACACTACACACACACACTACACACACACACTACACACACACACTACACACACTACACTACACACACACTACACAAACACACTACACACAATACACACACTACACACACACAGTACACACACAGTACACACACACTACACACACACACCACACACACACTACACACACTACACTACACACACTACACTACACACACTACACTACACACACACACTACACACACACACTACACACACACTACACACACACACCACACACACACACTACACACACACACTACACACACTACACACACACAGTACACACACACAGTACACACACACTACACACACACACTACACACACACACTACACACACACACCACACACACACTACACACACTACACACACACACTACACACACTACACACACACACTACACACACACACTACACACACACACTACACACACACACTACACACACACACAGTACACACACACTACACACACACACTACACACACACACCACACACACACAGTACACACACACTACACACACACTGCACACACACACTACACACACACTACACACACACACTACACATACTACACACACACACACTACACACACTACACACACACAGTACACACACACTACACACACACACTACACACACACCCTACACACACACACTACACACACACACTACACACACACTACACACACACAGTACACACACACTACACACACACACTACACACCACACACACACTACACACACACACTACACACACACACTACACACACACACTACACACACACACTACACACACACTACACACACTACACACACACACTACACACACACACTACACACACACTACACACGTGAGCTAGACGGACACTGCGTAGCCGCGCCTCCTCGCCGCTGGAAGAGTCCCCCGGGGTCTCAGTGTGGAGCGAGCGGCATCGCCGACGACTCCTCCGCAGTCTCGGGGTTGTTGTTGTTGTTACAAGCAGGCCGATGCCATTGCCTACTTGGCTGATTGATTTTGAGTAAACAACAACAAGAAGAAGAAGAACAACAACAAGAAGGATACATTAACCGAGGACACAAAGGGGCCATGGCTGGGACAATGTGCGTGGCTATGTATCAGTACACGGGCGATATAAATCAGCAAGGATTGAGTTTCGGAGCGGGGGACACAATCCGCGTGTTCCACACCACGGAGGATGGCTGGTGGGAAGGCGAGAAGGACGGCATCCGTGGCTGGTTCCCTGCGAGCTACGTGCACATCTTGGAGGTAAACCGAGCAAAGTGTGAGTAGCTGGGACGTTGTAGCTACAACGTGGATGGGTGCTGTGTGGTGCGAGTCCCAACGTAAATGGTGATGGAGGAACAATCTCCCAAGGGCGTTTGGCACTCATTGGTAAACCCTTGCCTGCCCCTGGCACGTCGAATGCAGGCCAGTGTGTTTAACTTGTGAGTGTTTACGCGATCTAATCTAACTCCCCCCCCCCCCCAAAAAAAAACCTGTATTATATTATGGTTGATATTTGGTCGCGAAAGCCTAAAACGTGTTAAACCGTGCAGTGTTGTTACGTCATGTTTTTGTATACATGCAGATGTCGGAGAAGACTGAAGCAACACTGAAGTTTAGTCCTTTGCCACTGAACATTTTTTTTATTTACCATGCCAACCAACGTTGAAATGATTTTATTGTATTTTTGAGAAGCTATTCCGCTTCCTTTGTGATTCAATCATCACCGCTATGGATACACGTTGAGCAACATCTATACCCCAAAGGGCTGGCAGTTTTGAAGTATTCCTAACGTGCAATTACTGTGGAGATGGTGTCCAACAATACTGATGCGTCTCATCTTGCTCGCATGCACCGTCTGCCTGAGACATTATTACGTTTGTTGTTTGCCCAGGGAAGTTTCCCAGAGTCTCGTGACTTCTTCAGGAAGGGTCTTGCCAAGTTTTGTCGCAGTAGGAGGGCGATGATTGAGATGCAGTTTTTACAATTGAGTACATTTTCGGGTACTGTTTTCTCTTCAAATGTAAAAAAAATTGTACCGTGAAGCTGGCGACACAATGGGCCTACTCTTGCGACTGCCACCACGTGCTCTTTAACGTTCACTTATGAAGGAGACGGGGGCGTATTTTTGTTACGGTTAATAACACGGTGCATTCATCAGGGCAGCCGCTGGATTTGAACCGTGAACCTTTTCAACAGTGGCGAACGTGCCAGGCCATTGTCACCTCTTTAAAAATAATGAAATTCGGACCCAAAGTTTAGACTTTTAGTAGTAAACATTCGAAGTCGAGCTCCAACCTACTTAACGTGTTTTACAAGTAGTTCCACAGCATTGACACGGAAACGACATTTGTAATTATGAAAGTGATAATGGCGATCTTCACGAAATATTTAATTCGTTGAACTTGCCATTTGCTGAACTTGTCATTTACTAAGTATATCATCTATAGTTGCCGTTCCAGTCAACAGATAATATTGATCATTAACACTATTCAATTAAAAGTAAAAATGCCATCTTCATGACCACTAACAAATAGGCAGCAATAGTCTCTGCTGCTATTTTTTTGGACAGATATGGGCTGTATACAGGTTTAAATGTCATGCTTATCAGTAGTGCACCTTAAAGAATGTAGCAAAGCGATGCGCATATTTCAAGAGGCGATTGTACATCGTGCAATGAGGTTCTTGTCTCAGGGTGATTGCCCGGGAGCACTGCAGCACGTGGCTTGTGGGCCTTCCCAGAAACAAACACACACACGAATGTGGCCATTCCAGTCGTGTGGGGCACGTCACTCATTTGTCATGCTTTTACTTCGCTGTTAGTAAAAATGTACCAATATAGAGGACAAGGGCATGATGTCACGGTACAGTATTAGCTTGTTAAGAGTAATTTTAATAATTTGTAATAACTGTTTAAGTAAATAAATATATGTTGTAAATTAGGAGCCCTTTGTAATTTCACTGCGTTCTGGATTAAGGTCACCCTATGCCGTGACCATACCTCACTACACTAAGGGAATGCCCACGACTGGTTCAGGTACCACTCTCAACACTGATGTTGGCCATGAACAGTAATCAAACTCAAGTCGCCCCGGGTTTCGAGTGTAGTGGGTAAATCGCTGCTGATGCCACTGCGATCCATTGTATCTTTACAATTCCAGGATTAGACATTGCTCACTGTATGGCCACGGTTCAACATTGTTTTTCTGATGCCAGCTCAATTTTTTTGTCTAGAAGCCAGACTTCTTAAATGAATGTTTCTGCATGAATAATGCATACCCATGCGCACAAACCTGCATGCACACACAAATTCAGATGCAGGAAATGCATCCTGATGACTCATGCAAATGTGGTAGTTAAAAGCACATTTATAGATTCCCCCCCCCCAAGCCATTTTACACAAAGATGCAAATACAGAGATCACATAAATATATAAATGTGTCGTTTAACCCGCCATCATCCGACACAGCCAATTAGTAAGGTTTGTCACGTAAACAGAACATGCCAATTCGTTACTAGTACAGCACACCGGTGTGTTGGAGAGCAAAGCCACAACATTTACAATCTGAGTACGACGTTTCGCCAATAATTACAACTAGCTTCATCAGGCGACAGCCAGCTCCTGTTATGGGGTGAACTTCGTGGTCCCTTTATCCGTGAGGTTGCCACCAAAGTTACTTCACTTTTCCTGCGCAAGAAATGTTGGATAATAGCCATTCTGCAAAGGATTATGGGTAAAAACTTAGGTAATCGCAGATATTAAGAACAGGGTTGTGTGAATAAGAGGACTTTCCATACTCTTTTAATCCCGTGATAAAATGTAAGCAAATTGTTTAAGGCAGCTAACAAACATGAAAACAACCACGGTCTAAATCAAAACATTTGTAATGTTTTTCGTCAAGCCTATTAATAAAGTTTTACTTCCAAAAACTCAACTTTGGTCGGAATTGATTTAAGATGCGGTTAAGAGGCCAAGTGATTCCGTAATTGATGGGCGTCGACTCAAAATTATGACAGGCCACATCCATTATTCGTAAATAATACTGCATGCATGTACCTGTATTTGGTAACAATAAACATAGCATATTATTGACAACCATTTTTCTAAAATACATAAATGTACATGCTATATGTGCGCAACAAGTCGTGAAGTGAGATGTAATATTTTGTCATGAAGTAACTTGTATACTGTCTGCATATGCGGGCAGACCTACAACACGACACTACTCATTTTCAAAAGCATATCCTGTAAGAACGGCGTATGTATGTCGCCCTTATTAAATCTTTCAATTGACACACACGAATGTGTTGACGTGTAAGAGTCTGCCTTGCTGAAGGTTGTAAAATAATTTGGATGAAGAAGATCGTTCGCTATTAAATACGGCTATGCCTCTTTTCGGCTTGTAAAGCAAAACAGTTACAGTGGTCACCTAAGAAAGCGAAATAACAAAACTACAAAGCTATCAGTCACGTCTGCTGTTCTCTGCGGGAGATTTGTAAAAGAAAGAACTGCTACTGATAGTCAGACGTGTACAGTATACCCCTTATTTTGTCAGGCGATGAGGATTTGTAGAAAGAGAAGCAAAATAAAAAAGAGAATCTTAGAATAAGCTTAAGATTCGTCCTGACTATGTGTCAGGAAGGCCACATATAAGTTAGCTGTCCTGGAATAAATTGTCCCCAATTATTCCACTACAGGAGATTGCAGGTAGAGCAATTACCACTGAAGGGGAGAGATAACAATCGAGCTCCTTACCCTGACTTCCCTTCCCCCACGCAATAGAATGAAGCTCATTCCTGTAGAGTCTCTCTCTCACTAATGGGTTTATTCGGGCACAGAAGTGATTTTTAAACTGAGTTGACCAGGGTGAAGCCCCCTTTTCAGCACAATGGTTATACCTTTCAGGGTACTAGCCACGACTCCCAACAATGTAATGAACATTTTTTTAAAATGCAAATAAAACTCAGAAAGACCTTATTCTTTTTGGCAGGACTATTGTCGGAAACAGGAATCCTAACGTTAGGACTAATGTCATAAATGAGTCAGGGGTGGGGTGAATCATATACAGTACTTAAAATTATAAAAGTTACCCAAGTTTTTATTTTCTCTAGAGACCTCATGATGAAAAATGTCTGGTCGTATGTATTCGAGAACACTTTTTTTTAAATACATACTTTAAGGAATGTCCATGTATCATTCCTTTATTCCCACAGAAACCACCAAAACAACAGCAGGAAACACAAGGTATTCCTGGAACGTGGGCGTGTTTTAAGTGCAGACGATGTGGAACATGCTTAGTTTGCAAATGAATGGGCAACAAACAAAGAAGTCGAAATGTGCTGCTGCTTGCTTGACATTGTAAACCTGTTTTAGTGATATACAAACAGGTCCTGCTGGGAAAAATAAAGCCCCCACTCAGAGTTGTAAGCGTAGAGTAAATATCTATTCTTGAGTGACAGTTTAAATTCATGACGGTGAAAAGTGTCTGAGTTGCCCCCATAGAACATCCTGCAAGAGATGTACAGTAGTCCCTTGCTGGTGTTACTACAGATGCTTGTTTTCATTACTATTCTAGAGGCTGATTGATAGTTTATGTGATCCACGGCTTGGTCATGCAAATGGAGTTCCAGGAAATATCACATTATTTACTTATTTATGCGGGAGAGCCACACCGAGTCCCGATCACTCTTTTTCAGGAGGGTACTGCATTGCTTTTCTTTTTAATTAAAAAAAAGTTTTCAGCCAATTAATGACGAGTGTGTATTGTATCCTACGAGTGTGAGGAAACCGGAGCACCCGCGTAGAAAACTCACGCGCACAAGGGGGCAACTCTATCCCCATACAGATGGAAACAGACGGCGACTAGTCCACTTGATTCACGACTGTACTGCCATTTCCTGGGTATGGCACCTCGACACCCACGGGAAGGGAGCTTCACAACATTCGTGTGGTCCACCGACTCTTTCCTCCACAGCGCTGGGATGACGTGCCCAAATGTATGGTGCTGGTGGCACAGACTCTGCAAGGACTATTTCTATAACCGTGCTTTCATTTATTTATTGGAAACGTTTAGCTGGGGGTGGGGGGGAATGAAAACAACCCCACCAGTGCACAAGGACGTCATTGGTTTTAGCGGAGATGATTTATCGCTGTGTTTGTGCAACACATCGTACTGAGGTTAAAACCGTCACACACACACATTACAAAAACACACACATTAAAAAAATACAAAGAATCTCGACCACAAAACCCAGGTACCGTA